GCTTATTGCACTTATCTCTCTCTTCTGTCTTGCTGCCGGGCTTAAGGGTCGAGTACGGCCCGCAAGCACTCGGCCCGCCCGACCACCTATCTGTTTATTTCGTGGTCGGCTTTGGGGTACTTCAGACGAACTACGTGGTGTCTTCTGCGCTTCCGAGTTGCAACCCCCTGTCACGTTCCCGGCTTCGAAAAGGGGACTGCACCTTACCTGACTGGGACCTCGTGAGTGCCATATGCCCGTGTTCTTGCCAAAAAGTGGACATGAAAAGTGACTGGCGGGAGCTGTGCTTCGAATCCATGCTTAGCCCCCCTACACTGCCTTGAATTCTCGCCGAGTACGTGCCCCATTGTCCACAGCTCGCCCACTGCCTTGTTGGGGTTGCCTGTAAGTGTGACACTGTGCGACTGGGCCCACTGGTGAAACCTCAGGCTCAACAAACAAAGGCTGCCACGCGACTAGATGCAGTTACTCAGAGTCTCCAGGCTCGGCTCGGTCCCCCGTCGGGGGGGGGCCCTTTTGGCGGCGAAAAACCTTACTAGCGGTTACTAGCCTTGTAGAAGGACAAGGTCACAACAGGCTTTTGTTGGGCTGGTCGTGCCCTTGGGCTCTCTCACCCTCTCTCTCAATCCGTTATTTGGGCCCCTGTCGCTGCCTGCACGGGTCGGGAAATAGGCCGGCCAGCGGTGCTGCTTGGGGCATGCCTCGCATGAATCCCAGCTTCTGCTGCTGCGGACATGCCACAGAGGCCTCCCAGAAAGGCCTCTACTACGATGCGCCATCATACATATGATCATATATATATATATATATAATATGAATATGTATATATATATATATATATATATATATATATATATATATATATAATATGTGTACATACGTTTGATGTTGTGTCTTACATGTTTGGAAAGAATTTTACGGGTTACCAACTATAATTAGACATCGTCCTTCCAGCCTTGTGCAGTCGAAGCCCGTGGTAGAACGGGATGATGTCGTCGCGCTGGCCATGCATCACGAAGAAGGGGCACGTGACCTTGTGTCGAGAAGTAAAACATCACACATTGCTGACGCTCTTCAGATTCAGCTTGCTTTCGAAGTTGGTAAATTCGTAGGCCTTGCGGCCGTTGCGCTGAGGAAGAGGAGAGCAGGGGGCCGGGGTCGCTAAAGCGATGCCTTGGGCTTTGGAGCTCTGACCTGAAGCCTCGCTGAGTGCAGGACGTGCCGAACTCGCCTCGCAAAGGGGCAAAAACACGAGCGGAAGCCCCCAAATCGCAAGTGGCCGCAAGCCCGCAAGCGCCCCGCCGCCCCGCCTGTCGTTGGGGTAGAAGTCGAAGCAGCTCCACACGCAGCTGGGCCGGCAGCAGGCATCCGGCTTTGGGTCCACTACCTGCAGACTCAAGCCTACAGTGCCTACAGCTACAAGTGAAGCCAAGAGATGGGAAGACAAAAGAGCCCGGAAGAGCCTTGATGCCGGAGAGCAGTGGCCTCACTCCATTCGCCCACACGCTCCGTTTGGCCCGCTCTGTCGACCGGGCTTCCAGACGAGTGGAGGATGCAGCCACCCAGGCTCTTCTTTGAGGCCAGGGATGTGGCCGGGCCACTGGGCGGTCGACACAACTTCAAACAGCTTGGCTAGGAATTCGAGGGGTGCGCCTGCCAACACTCTGTCCATACGCGACGATCCTGCGCAGAACTAGAGAACTTCTTGTGCTCCAGCTTCTTCTGGCTCCCTGGCTCCTCTTGGGCGGGAGGCCCCTCTTTTCCACAAGGTAATCGTAGGCGGCTTCCACATCTGCGTAGCTGTTGCCGGAACTGGGCCTTCGCGCATTCTCACACCTTGAAGACATGTATCGGCAATGCAGTGCGGTCCTTCCGGAGGACGCGCCGTATCCGCTGTACTCCACACCACAGACCTGCCCCCCCCGGCAGGTCTACGCTGAGGAGACTTCCCACAACCACAGACCAGCCTCCACTCCCAGGACCTTCGCCAGTTCGTAGTAAGGGCCCATCATCATCCTCGATATAGCTTCTTGAGCAGAGGATGGGGCAGGTTGCAGATGTGCCAATCAAGGGTCCCTATGTCGGTCGCATTGCCGTGGCAATGGAGAAGGACCTGGCTAGTCATGCAGCATTCGCCTGTCCCAGCTGGGCTCAAGCACAAGTGGTGACAAAGCTGAACCAAGTTCCATGCGATCGGAGGCCTCAGCACGGGAGGAACCAGCACCACATCTATTTCGCAATCTCTGAACCAAACTGCAACAAGCAGTGGGCATGCGTTATTTGCCGGAGATTTGGCAAATGAGTCCCGAGCTCGCTGGCCTCCGCCGTCTGGGCCTCCACAAGCATGAGAACTCCGTGCGGTAGACCCTCACTCACAAAGCCCTTACAGCCGTACAGGCTTCCAGCACACCTCCCGCACTGGACTGACTTTCTCTCGTCGGAGCCAGACCATCGGAATCCGGTTCCCATTCCTGAACCGCAGGATCGTCAGTCCCATCCACATCCAAAGCGGAGACCCTGCCTGGTGGTGAGGAAGTGCACCTCAGAAGCCTTGAACACACTTCGACAAAAAACAGCCTTGCAAGCTCTCCAAAACAGCACTGTCTCATCCCGATGCCTGTGCCGCACGCCGATAAAGCTCAGAACCTTCCAGGCCCTGCCGAGTTTTCGCAATGTCTGGCTAACTCCACACATCGTTTAACTCGCGCCTCCATCAGGTACGACATCTTGCAAGGCCCTTCCGGCGCTTCTCGCGGCGCACTTTCGCCGTCCTGCAGGTGCTTGTACATTGCTGGAAGCATCTATTGAGCCAGGCGTACAAACACATCAGCGACAGTCACATTAAACAGTACATTGTCATGACATCCAAGCATCCAAGACGCAAGAGATGTCAAGATGCTTGCTGCTGTTGATGCTTCGTTGAATGCAGAGAAAATCACTGTCACTTCTTCTGTGCAGTGAGGCGGGCCTCTACCTCCGTCTCCACAGCGTAGGAAGATTGCGGGGGAATGAAGGTAAAGGCATTCCTGCGCCGGCCATTCTCTGAAGCAAAACAAGGCCAGAAGCTTCGTGTCTCTTGTTCCCTCAGCCGCGGCGTTTCAGGCCTCACTTTCTCAGCATCGCAGCCCTGGCCGGAGCAAAGAAGAATGCAGTCTAAAGAGTCTAGAGTCTAGCATTCAATTTGTTCGCCTTACAGCAGAAAAGGCAGCCGATTGACGTGGAGGCGACGCAGTTGGAACCTGTCATCCAGAAAGGCGAGACACAGTTCCACTGGTTCGAGCAACAGCAACGTGGTGCAACCAACGCCGGGCTTACCCATGCTGCGCCACGAAAATGGATAGATGGTGCGTTGCTCAGGTGCCGTCTCTTACCATGGTAGTGCTCAGCCATTTTGCTGTGCTCGCCTTGGTTGTTGCTGCTCTTCTCCTTCAGCTATATATGCTGTTTCTCTGTTGACTTCTTGCTGTGCTGACTCATCTCCGTGGAAATGCCTGAAGTTGTGTTTCGGGCTTCGGGCTGCTATTCCCGCTCCTGTCTTGGCACTGGAGAGTCACAATGTGCTTCTCAACATCGGCAAGCACTCTACAAGCTAAAGCACAGCCACACATGCGCAATGCGTGGAGGCGGCAAACACTCCAAATTGCGCAATGCTTTGCGCCTATCCCTCCAACCTCGGCCTCGTGCCCGAACCTCTTTCCCCAATACACCCCCTGCCCAAAGAAAGCTGACTTTGGCTTCCAAGAGCTGACAGCCAGATATTGCGCTTGCGCGCGTTTTTGGCTGACAAACCTCTCGAGAAAAGGGCCCAGGCGGATGACGCGAAGCGCTTGCAATTCAAGCTAATGTTCCCCGACAAACACTTGGCATATTGATATGAAGCTGTCGTCGGTCAAACCGTTCTAAAAAAAGGCAACTTTCAGATTCAGATTCGTTGCAAAAAAGGCTCGAACGTTTTGTGCATTCGGACACAATGGGTTGCATGGGCATGGAGCGGCAGGACTCGCAACACTTTCTCTCGTCTTGGCAAAGGATTTGCACACATGTGGCAACAGTCGTAAACTGTCAACCATCAAGTGAGCTCATGTTTCCAACCTGTAAGCCCGGGTTTGAGGAATGTGCGACTCAAAGATTCCTACAGGCCAGCAGCTTGCCCGCCTTGTGCACGCATGAGCAAACAAGCGTCAACATGAGTGGTGCAAGCAGAAATTGCTGAGCAATGCACGAGCTTTGATTGCTTTTCTCTCCCAGTCGAATAGGCGATACGCCAAGATCCGAAGGAGCCTTGGCAAAATCAAGAACATTTTCGGGCCGAGTGGTATGGCGGCACAACAGCACAGGCAATTTCAAATTTCAGCGCAGCGTCACATGTTTTGTCAACGTGGCCGTCATTATGAGCACAACGTTCAGAACACTTGGAGGTCGTCACAACATTCGTTCGAGAAAAGGCGGGGGGGTTGTAGGAACAGCGGGGCCGCGGAGGGGTGGAGGCGGCCATGGGCAGGAGCAAGGGGGTCTCATGGTGGAGCCATGATTCATTCATTTCTTTTGATGCAGTTGGGGGGGGGGACTATCGAAAGGTGAGGCCCTTGCGCATCATCCCGATCTCATCGTCCAGGCGCGTCTCCGTCTATCCTGCCAATGTACACTAAATCATGACATCATGATAGCATCGAGCTGCCCGAGGCGCTCTGCGTGGCCCTTGCGCTTGCAAAGCAAGCAGTGTCCCGGGCCCCAGACTTTGCTTTGCTCGTGGATTCTGCGGGCCAGAGCAAGTTAAGCGTCTCTGAGCAACTCCAAGCAATCCAAAGCAAATTTGGGCTCGCAGCTCAAGCTCCGCTTCGAGCTGCAGAGCGATGAAATTGATATAATCATAACGATATAGGAATTCGGAATAAGCACACCGCGTCGGGTGAGAGGGAAACCGGGAACAGCAACTAGACCCTACTTGATGCGGGTCAAGCCTAACCCTGTAAGGGCAAACACAGCAGCGATACTTGTGTTCACTGCATCTTGCGTGCACGCCAGCGGGAGACCATTTTGTTCACGTTCCCCACTAAATGATTGAATTCCTTGGCAGACCTCAGCTCGAGCATTTGCTGCCTTACATCAGCGCCGGAGATGGGGGACGCGGTGGTGGCAATCCGCATGATGGACTGCGTTCGGTGCATGTGGTAGCGCAGGAAGCCGAGGCTCACCAGTGGCCAAAACTCCGCGATCGTCCCAGCCATTTCGTGGAACATCACGAAGAAGGACACCGCACGTTGAAGTGTGGCGATGCGGCTCTCATAGAGCTGCATGGAGAGGAATTGTGACTGGACGATCTGCACATGATCGGAGGGGTCAGCAAGCTGCAATAAGGCCTCGCCGAAGACCTCCTCACTGGACTCCCGGATTTGGCTCGGGCGAGCCTGGCCCTGCATGGCCTGGGCCAAGGAGAGCATTTCTACAAAGGGCATGCGGAGGAGTGCCTTGCAGTCCACTGGGTAGATGCCCCCCTCCTCCGCGCCGAAGTGGTTGAAGGCCCTCTGGAGCTGGTCCTTGCTCAGCTTGTCCTCATGGAGTAGACGGTAGCCCTTCTCGAATTGCTCGAAGGTGATGTGCTGGGTGTGCTCTACCCCCAGACTCTCCATGAAGTTCTTTAGATCCTGCTCCTTCAGGGCCGAGGATTCCAGAAGCCGCTTCTTGTGCTGGATCTTCTCCATCCACTCGGGAACCTGAAGCTCGGTTTCTGAGCTCCTCCTTTTCAACTCCGTCTTCAAGTTATTGAAATCCCCGAGTTCGCCACTGGCGCTTCTCACCACGTCCTGCTGCTTCAGGAACTCGTAAAGGTACAAGGGCCGTTTGGTTTTCAGGGTCACGGCGTGCGCTGCGAGTGGCAGCTTGAAAGGGCTGTGGCCGATGGTCAAACTCTCGCAGCCAGAGCCCATGGACTGGATGGAACTCGCCTGGTTCACGGCCAAGTAGACCGCCTGTGCGCTGTTGCTCAAAGCCACCAAGCGGCCATCGGGGCAGCCACAGGCCAGCAAGGTGCCGCGCACCACGCGGTGGGTCATGCGATGGACCAGGTGGTCACCAGGGTTCGCCGAGAAGACGGTGAGAGCCGTGGCGGAGTAGGAGCAGGCCATCAGTTTCGAAAGGAAGGCCTCGGCGGCCTGGGCCACCCAAGGCACATCTCCGATCACCAGCGTACGGCCTCCCATGCGATGCAGCAGCGGCCGTCGCTGCACCAAGCGAATCATCAGAATCGCAAGCTGTGGCAGGAAGATGTACAGCAGAGCATCGAAGGCAAGCGTCATGTGGTATGCAGGGGAGCCCGCTTCCACCAAGCCGGTGGATTTCGCGGTGTGCATCACAGGAGGTCTGCCCAAGGTCACGGTGACAGCGATGTAGAAGGCGCACAAAATCCAAGCCCGCGGCACCTCCAGCACGTGCTGTGCCCAGTGCCGGCCCCTGCGGCGCAGCGCCCGGCACGTCTCCATCTTCGGCTCCACCAGCTCCCGCAAGGCATCAATGTTCATGCGGTTCATGCGACTCAGCTCGGCCAGATCCGAATGCGTCACCTCGAACATCGAACAACGTACATGGAGATTTTGGAAATCAAAGAAGCCTTCCCCTTCGATCCCCTCAGGCTCTCCACGACTGCAGATCTCCGACTTCACACTTCTGAAACAAGCGTCTATAGTCACTAGTCTGAAAGTGGCCGACGCGACACGAGACAACACGAGACTACACGAGCATGCACACGAGACCACGCGAGGCCGCAATCACCATGCGGTGGTCGCCAAACCGGTGGGTGGTTGTTTTTCGGACGTGCCGGCCTTGGTGCCGACCTGTTGGCTCAAGCTGGGGTCTTTCAGCAGGCCTTGCGCCAGGTGGAGCAAGATCTGCGTGAGCATCTGTTGCATGGCGGCCACGGAGACGGAGCAGGCCTCAGCCGGACGCAGGCCGATGTCCTCGCTGAAGATGCGGCTGCAGAAGCTGTTCTGCAGCTGCCGAAGCTGCTTCCCGATCTGCGTGTCCCACTCGGAGGTAACCACGAAGATGTTGGTCGTGAAGGCCTGCAGGAGGTTTGAGACATTCAGTGTGGCGAAGGTGCCACCGCTGTGGCTCAAAAGCAGGGCGACGCAGCCAGAAAGGTCCCAAGAATCGCAGATGTGCCCTGTCTGTGCCATCGTGTATTCTTGACCGTAGTGTCCGAGTATCTTGTTGCTGGAAATACACTTCACGACAAGGTGCTGGAAGCACAGGGATAGGTCTGCTGCAAGCTGTTCACCCAGCCACAAGCTCACCTCACAGCCGGTGATCAGGAGATCCACAGCGTCTCCCGCGACTTTGCCATTTGCCTTCTCCCGGAGCCTTCGGTGCAGAGCCCTCGTCAAAGTCCATGCCGTTATCCGGTTCAAGCCCTCGCCGGTGTCCCAATCCTTCTGGATCTTCTCCAAAGCAGAGGGGATGTCCCGAATGTCTTTAGCCACTGGATCTCCACAGCTACGAGTATCCGGGAGAGGCATCACGAGCGGATTGTCTTCAATGGCCACCAAGCGCTTCTGGAGGCGCGTCTGCATCAAGCCTCCGCGCACGGAGGTCAGCGTAAGAACTTCGCTCATGGCTTGTGGCTGCAACTTCCGGTGGGCGAAGGATGCGTAAGGCACCCCGCCGCTCCAGTCCAAGAGGCAAATCTCGCCGGCAAAGTCATCCAAATCAAGACGCATGGCAGGTCCAGTGGAGAAAGCAGGCTTTGGATGCCCATCCTCCAGGGAGCTGATGGAGCTGTCAGAGCTGTCAGAGTCATCCTTGCTGTTGAGCCTCGAGAGTCCCGACGAGAGGGGCTTCGCCGCCTTGGCCGCCGAGAGCCCGAGGCCGGCCTTCACCGCGGCTGCCTCGGAGCCGTAGAGGAGGAGCCCAGCTTCCGGGTAGAAGGCGACGGCCATGCTCTGGCCACGTGCGGCCATGACGATCTGCTTCTGCGCATCCAAGGAGGAGGTGATGCAGAGCCCGAAGGAGCCTTTGGCCCTTTCCATGAAGAGCTCCATGGCTCGCAACAAGTCGTTGTCGAAGAAAGCATCGATGGCCATGTAGATCATGCTCTGCAGCTCTGTCTCGTCGTCACAAAAGCCAGCCACAAGCTTGCTATGCTTGCTTTCTCGAAGGGCTTTCAGGGAGGCCTCCTGCAGAGCCCCTCGCTGCTCGTTCAGCTGGGCGACAGATTGCTGCTCGACATCGAACTTCTGAAGCACTGTCTCCAGCACCGCAGCCACCTGCTCCATCACTTTGCAGGGAACCTCGTAGTCGAGAGAGTCCTGAGTTGTCGCTTTGACGAAGAGGAAGCCGTAGCGCACGCTGCGCGTCAGGCAGCCCTGGGTTCGGAGCAAATCCATGAGCCCGGCGATGGCCGCCGAGTCCACGTCCGCGGGCCTCTTCTGTCCCGTGGCACGCTCCAGCCAGGATTGGATGTCCGACAAATCATAGGTCCTGTCTCCCACATCAAAGAAGTCCAGGTCGCCGTTGTGGGTAATGAAAATCTCCAGGTTCACTTTGCTCTTTCGCAGCTTCCCAGAGGTCCAGCCCAAGTAAACCTCGTGTTTTTCAGGAGGCGTCCACTGATGGGGGTGCGTCCCTTCGAGAGTGGCCTTCGAACTCGTAGCGAAGCGAGTGTGCCCCATGTAGAGCCTGCCGGTACTCATCAAAGGTCCTCGCCAGCTCGCCCACCACTCCACTGCCTGCAGCCTTGCACGCAGCAAGGTCGACAGTGTCGTGCGTTTCAGATTTACCACTCGGGCTCGCAAGCCTCTGACGTTCCCCTCCTCCCCCAGGAACGTGACGACACCACCCGACTGCGCCTTCGCATCATGGTCACCTCCACCATCTTCTCAAGAACGTCCTTGATCTTCCGAGGCGAAGAAGCCCAAGTCCTATGCAGGATCACCATGCCGAAGTTCCCACACAGGAACAACCCCTCTGGAGCTATCGCCCAGGTTTGAAGAAGATCCGACAGGCAAGCCTCGACTGCAGTCACGGCTGCAGGGATGCAGCTCATTGGAGAGCCGATGCGGAGGAAAAGAATCGCCGTGACCAGGGAGACGAGCCATCCTGCGTGCCGCACCCAGAGACTTCTCCAGCCTGGAGGCGTCTTGATGCGCACCTGCCTCCCACCAAGGGCCATAATAAGGTTCTGGAGGCTGCAGCTTGCCGGACAGCCCACGCAGATGCCAGCCAAGATGTGGGCAAGCTCGTGCCATGCCCCGAAGAGCACATAGTTGAGCACGTAGCTCGCGAGACTTAAGAGAATGCTGCCAAACATCGCTGGGCTCCACTCAACAAAATGCAAGCTTCTGGCTCGAGTTGCAGATAGCTTCAGCCGCGCCCATGAGAACTCACAAGAACATCATGCTGCACCAGTTCCAGACTTGGACTTTTGCTTTTACATCTGTGGTGCATTCCAATTCCTGTTCCAGGAGACCTGACGCTAAAGATTGCGTGCCAAAGCACTCTGACGCAACTCGGCTTTTGCACAATGAGAACTTCTGAACACAGTGGCTACCCACAGACAACGGCCTCGAAGCGAAGGCAGTCCATCATGGTTCCTGCTGCTAGTGCGACTTGAGCCCAAGTTGCTAAGGGAGCTTCGGGCGATCGCCGGGAGAAATATCTGGTTGAATTCGCGCAGCGGAAGGCTATGCCGCATTTTGCTGTTCAGAGCGCCGAGGCTCGAGACGTGAGAAGGTAGTCAGCGAAGTCCTGCAGGCCATTTGCAAGAACTGTACTTATAGTATACATGACTGCCGAGCCTGCACTGTCTCGAAATACTGCTCACACTCCCGTCGCATGTAGTCCTGTGCTGCAGCACAGGCATCACTCATCATGTAGAACTCTTGAGAAAGACGGAACCCCACCTGGATGGGTTGCACATTATGTCCCCAGCCCGCCGCTACGACTGTGATTCCGGCAGCTTTGGCCATTTTCACCTCGAGCTTCACGGATAATAATAGGAAAGTGCATGAAATTGATTACGGATTGGAGGCCGGACAGGCTCCTGCAGCCCATGATCTGCTTTCAAAGGTGCTCCAGGTGAGAGGTCATCTAGAGCCAACACTTCCGCAGGCTGCACGCCAAAATGCTGCAACCTCCAGTGCGTACTGAACACCGACCGTGGACCGTCGATGCAAAATTCGTCGCGCTCAGTAAGAATATGACCCAGCTGCCACACAAGCAGCTGTGCAAGGAGAACGGAATGTGTCGTTATGATCGCGTATAAGTACAAACATATACATGCATGTACACATATGCATACATATACATACATATACATACATACCTATATATATATATATATGTATACATATACACATAGATATACAATATGTCTATACACAGATATCCCCACTTTCCTAACAAAAAGCAGTCTCAGGCATCACTCTCGCCAGGTAGCATGCTCGCATGCGGAAGGATGATGTTACCGCTCATGCAGCTCCTTGTTGCTGCTAAATTGCTTTCTGCTGCATCATTGATGCGAGAATGTTCACGAAGATGTTAACTAATTACGATGACGGTCGCGGTGACCTTATCCTGACCGTGATGATGCGGCTGCTGCTGATGATGATGATGAACATCATGATGCGTCTGATTCTGGAGATGATGCTGATAAGAATGACGACGCTGATGATGATGAAGATGATGTGATGGCTGATGCTGCTGACGCGGGCGATTATTATGACCAGAACGATATTGTGATAAAGCAGTGAGTGGTGCGTGAGAACCACGGTGTCCTTTGCAGTGCCGTGAGCACCGGCACGCAAGAAAGCTCGAGAAAAACCAAAAAAGCAACATCAACCCCACATACAAGTATCAGAAGACATCGTATTTCAGTGGCTTACCGCTTGCCATGCATGGAAACCGCAAACTTCACAAGCTCCCGCCAAGCCGCGCATGCAGAGCCGGCCAGGGTGAAGGCTTTCGTTTGGCAGGGTCCTGGTGAACGTCTGCTAACGGTTTGCTGGCGTGATCACCCACCGTCCCTGAATCCCTCAACATGACACGAAGATTACCGTGATCAGACGGCAAAGACGGTCTTGAGTCTTCTGTCATACCCATATCTGGTGTTTGCTTGCTCTCGTTCGCCCTGTCCTGGTCCCAGCCTAAGACCAGGTCCGGGCGAATGTACTCGGCCCATGGATGGGCGTCATAGTGGCGCTGGATGACGTGCGCCGGGCTGTGGGACACCACAGCCACACCTCGTGAATTCAGCGTCTTTCCGAGCCCATGTGGTATAGACTCACTCTATATACCTTCCTTCCCTCCCTTCCCTATTCTTATCGTTGAGTTGGTGCTGACGAGACGCGGCCGCCCCGTGCTCGGTACTCCTTCAGAAGCCTTGACATTTCAGAAGCTCAGCTGTGCGACTTCCAGCTTCAAAAGAGCAGAACTGGAGAAGTGGCTACTGTAGGGCCGCAAAGTAGCTCGGCTATGCCTCAAGAGTCGCACAACACGACACTCGCATCTCCATGACGCAGCAGCGACAGCGGCCGAGGGCCTTCGTAGAATGCCGGCATCTTCTGCTCCATGGCCTTCTCCCAGATCTCATGTTCCTGCACCATCTGCTCCGAAGTGAAGAGCAGCTTCAGGTAGGCCGACACCTCGGCGTGCAATGCGTCGCGGGTCGCCGCTCCGGAGGCTAGGGACCTGACACCGGGGTCGTGGTTTCGCCGGAACCACTCCTCCAGCGACACAGGGACCAGGTCCGGCCGCAGGATGCGAAGGCTGTCGACGTGAGCGGGATAATGCACCTCCTGCCCCCCAAAAGAATCCCCCCCCCCCGTGAACGTGAACGGAAGTGTCTGAGTCAGTCAAAGTGCAGATCCTCGGTACCCTTCACCGTCGTGTCGTCCTGACATGTCACGGCCCACCTTGCAAGCTGTTTGGAGAGCTGAATCTGCCAGCCAAGAAGCGTGATCCAAGAGGAGCACCCGGAAGCGAAGGCGGGCCGAATCCCCAATCTGCTCTGGGCCTCCCATCGCCGCCGGCACTTTGCGGATCCTGCCGAAGCCGGGTCACCCCCGACACCCGCCGCATTTCCTACGGCACGCAAGATTGCAACCACCCGAAAGGCCAGACCGCTGAAGCCCAACCGAGACAGGCAAAGCTCATCCCCGCCGGTCCTACGTTTCCCGCCGGGACCCTGGCGGCCCTGGCGAACCGAAGCCCAGGCCTGGATCGGCGGATCGGCGCGATCCAAGCGGACTTCTTGTGGAAGTTCTTTGAAGTCCATGCTGAAGTAGGATACTCAGACTATACGTATATACGCACATCATTTATGTATAAGCATACATCTGCTGTTTTCTGCTGTTTCGGGCGAAGAGTCGTAGCGACGCGGCCCTTTGGCTTGCATCTAATTAAAGGGGAGGAGCGAGTCTGCAGACAGAAGCTGAGCCGACTGTAAGGGCAGGAGCCTGATCTGCCGATCACGCCCTTGAGGGCAGTATGCACTCACAGAACGTCTGCGGAGCAGAAATCTGCCACGAAAAGCTCCGAGGAGCTGAGATGTATAGACATGAAGCCACGAGAAGATTTACCCGGCCACACATGTAGTGCGAAAAAGCCGTCGCGTCAGTAAAAACTTCATGCAAAACGACAGAAACCAAAGAAGTTGCCTCAGAGGAGACTGGTCAAGACTCCGTGAACTACCACGACAGCCAACTAACCGTACTCCCCACGCAACCTACAGCAATATGCAGCAGGCCGTAACAGCCGAAGGAAGATCCCCCTGGATCAAAGGAGAACTTTGCACAACTACGCCCCGAAGCGGAGCCCGGAATGCAGATGCCCTGATCCCCTATGGAATCGCCGCCCTTGGTCGAGTCGTTGGCCTGATCCTGCAGCCTCGATTGGACGATGCACATGGTTTTGCTGAAGGGGTTGTTGTAGTAGCCGAGGTCCTCCGCAATGAGCTCCCACCACCGCTGTAAAGGCGGCAAGCCTGAGACATCGACATTCAACGCCGCAACCTGCTGGACGTTATAGTCAATGTTGACAACTGCAGTTTGCACCTGCTCACAGTCAAGGTCCCTGTCACAAACCAATGCGGGTCGAATGTCGCATTCACGGCAGAAGAGTTCCCAGCGGTGGTTCGGGATGGCACCACCACCACCACCACCACCAAAAATTTGCCACCGCCCACGGCCATACGAAGCCTCTGGCAAAGGCTCCCAAGCCCCACGCCAGTTTGTGGCAACGCCAAGTTCATCATGTAGCTGCGTGAAGAGAAGCAGGCCACGTTTACTTGCATCGTCAACCCATCCAGACACATCGGTGCAAAGTCCGTCCCTGCCATGGCAATCACCAAGAGAGTCCACGGCAGCCTGGACGTAACCAGCACTGCGTTGGGCTGGCACGTCGACTTCACCGTCCTCCAACACTTCATCCGCGCCATTCGCGGAAAAGCTGTCAGCAGGATCATCGTAGCATGTATTCCCCTCGGGGCCATCAAGCCAGTGACCTGATACGTCTGCATCAGACACCGCGGCAAAACTGTCACCAGGATCATCGCAGCATGTATTCCCCGCGGGGCCATCAAGCCAGAGTCCTGCTGCATCTGCATCAAACACTTCATCCGCGCCATTCGCAGAAAAGCTCTCACCAGGATCATCGTAGCATGCATGCCCCTCGGGGCCATCAAACCAGAGACCTGCTGCGTCTGACTCAACATGCACAGGACTCAGCCTGCACGAGCAAAAATTGTCCATGGTGGGCCACACAACTGCCTCCGCCAGCATGCTTGTGTAGCTTGGCCATGGGCGACCACCGCATCTACTGCAGCCTTGCCAGGCTATGTCTTGACGAAGATTTGCATGCCACCATCGAGCTTTAGCTCTTCTAGGCGTGCCCTTCCCGTACATGGGCGATGATTCGGGCACTGGGGCTCTACAGCAATCCCCGCTGCTGGGGTGTTCTGGGCCCTATAAGCATACATACATATATATATATATATATATATGTATGTATGTATGTATGTATGTATGTATGTATGTATGTAAATGTATATATATATATATATATATATATATATATATATATATATATGTACATGCATAATATAACATAACATGATATGACACGACTACACACACATGCATGCTGCTTATGTATGTACATAGATATTTCTAGAGTACATAGTTGTTCGGCTGGAACTCTGCATGGCCCATTGAACAACGTAACGTACAAGGACACTTCTGAAGACGCTGACCGGGTGGTTGCTACGTAGACCCTACTTGGTCAGGAACCGGCGGTCCTGTTCGGCTTTCAGGGAAGCAAGCACCAGCAGTGCCAGCGAGAAACCTCAGCATAAGAGAGCAAGAAGGCCAGAACATGTAAGTGTGTGACATGTGCCTATATAACAAGGCAGAGCGAGGAATGCCTGCACTGATAGTGGTAATGCCTGAGGGATGCAACATAACCATAGCCATGACAAACATGAAAACTGTAATGACACGAATCAGACTGTTTGGCAACTATATACATGTTATAACTTCGTATTCTACATGACTTCTTGCATGTGTACCTTACATACCGGTATATGCATACATGAATGCATGCACACTTGCATACCTACATACTTTTGAAACACTGAAAAATAAGCATACATTCATATACGTGTGTGTGTATATGTATACACATGTACGTATATATGTATGTACGTACAGACATCCACATGCATACAAATGTACATATACATGTATACCTATATGGTCAGAAACCACACCGTTTAGCACGCGGCCCCCATCCGCGATTCAAGGTTTGAGTTGTGGGATTAGGGCTTGTGTTTCTGGGTTCAAGTCAGGGTTTGGGGTCCTGCTTTAAGTTAATAAAGGATCAACTGGGTTCGGGGCTCACGCCCTGCTTTCGTCTGGATTCAATTCCTCAACCCAAAACAAAAACAACAAGCAAAAAACAAAGATCCGCAAAGAATGCCGGACATGCATTGAGATTTATCTTTGCGGGGGCGTTCGTACTGCTTGTTTGCTGATTCCGGCATTCCTTCTCCATCTTTTTTACTTGTTTGGCCTCATGGTTCATATTTGGCGTTGCGCTGCTGTGCTCATGGCAGCATGCTCATACCAAAGCCCAGTACCTCACACCCTATACCAATGCATCTATCTCTTTTTCTGAGTCTTGTCTACTATAAACTCAGTGCAAAGTTCGCTTCACATGCTATTCAACACACTCTGTCTCATGAGTGATCAGGTACAAGGAGCCGTCTCATAGCAAATCAACTAGTCCAGTCCCTGTGCTTACACATCGGGGTTACTATGCACACATGAGTAACAATTGCAAGAGATCTCTCAGAAGTATTATTCATCAACCATACGCTTTCATTGGTGGGTTTCCAGGTCCTAAGCCTATGGAGGGTGAGCTGCCGTCAAAGTGTCATAAAATACCTAGACAGGTGTTTGTCTGGGCTAATGGCGAAGGCATTGGCTCAGTAGCTGTACGTCCATGTGCTCGAGCCCCGGCTAAGAAAGGAGCAAGACATGAAGGGCACCCAATGGTCCAGAAACACAATGGTCCAGAAACTGGGAGATGGGGAAATGTGAATGTGACAGGAAGCTAAGAAATGATGAGTACCCAAGGCTGTGGCATTTCTTATCCGGCAGATGCACTGTGGGCACGTAGATGGATAGACAGACAGATGCATACATGCAGTGGTATATGAGTATAGCCGCATCTGTATATGATACTGTGTAGAGATACCTGATGTGCATCAAGGCATTCCATCTACACATATCATCGCAGATCTACGCTGTATTTGACAGTGACCACGGCCGAGTCACCTGCAACGGCGTAGGCCACAGCCACTGGCATGAGACCAGGTCTGACACTGTGCCCTGAGATCCTTGGATTGAATGTCGTTGTATGAAAGCTAGAGTTAAAACAGCTAAAGTCTAGATGCGACCTGTGCAAGCAGGGCAGCAGAGTTTTCTCTCATGCCAGTGGCTCTTCGCCTTTGATTTTGCCCCTCAATTCATGTGCTGTGAGCTTGAGGCTGCCCAGCTGCGGTGGCCCGGTGGCCGGTGGCCCGGTGGCCCCAAAGTGGGTCAGAAGCGCTCAGAGGCGCTCAGAGCTCAGAGCTCACAGAAGCGGATGCTTTGCTTTTCTGGCGCGCGCGCGCGGGGTCGATCTGATCTCTCTATACACGCGTGGAGGTGCGAAGGACTCAGACCTTCAGCCCACTGCGACATAGGACTAAGAAGTAGCAAAGGAAACTCATGCTCAGATTGAGCTGCGCTGTTGGCCTTGCAATGCAGATGGGAAGTCTGTGTTGCAAACGGAACAGCTTCAGCGGCCTCTCAGAAGGAACGCGTCTTCCGCCACCTCCTGATGTACATGCAGAGCCTTGGCAGGGAGATTCCAGCTTGTGGAAACACACCAAGAAACGGCAAAGGAGCCTGCAAACAAGAACGCACACAGCCAGCACCCTTGACTGCTGCTGGACGTGACAGATGAGAAATGAGGTCGCTGCGGTCTGAGAAGAGCTGTCCGACTAGATGTGCTGGCATGATAACTTTGTACAATTGTATGAGAATGAAGGTGCCTACTTCGACTGATTTCAGCCAATAGCTTTGGCCAGAGTTTTTGAAGGAGTGCATTGGAGAGAGAGAAAGAGCGATGGAGATAGTGACTGAGATGCAAGCCTCGAGATGCTTACGTGAGAACCTTTGACTAATTCGTATGGCGGCGAGCAGCACAGCATCCTCCCCTGCCACAGAACTCCTCAAATGCAACATATTCGACAAGCATTGCTCTCCGTCCCATTTCCCATCCCTTTGAATCCACAGAGCCGTAGCAGTCCGACCCACTGATAGGGATTGATTTAGTGAGCCGCAGCACGAGCATCATCAGCATCAGCTGGATTTCTTTTCAAGCTCTCCGTCCCATTTCCCATCCCTTTGAATCCACAGAGCCGCAGCTGTCCGACCCACTGATAGGGATTGATTTAGTGAGCCGCAGCACGAGCATCATCAGCATCAGCTGGATTTCTTTTCAAGCTCTCCGTCCCATTTCCCCTCCGTACGAATCCCCGGCAGCTATAGCAGTTCGAGCCCGTGATTGGGATTGGTTGAGTGAACCGTAACGCGAGCATCATCAGCATCGGCTTGATTCCCCTTCAGATTGATTTGGTGAGCCGCTGCGCGAGCATCATCGGCATCAGCTGGATATTTCTTTCAATCTCTCTGTCACGACTTCCCCTCCCTTTGAATTCACGGCAGCCGTAGCAGTTCGACCCAGTGATTGGGATTTCGTGAACCGCAGCGCGAGCATCATCAGCATCAGCTGGATATTGATTCAAGCTCTCCGTCCGATTTTCCGGCTGTTGAACCCGCGGCAGCCGTGGCAGTTCGACCCAGTGGTTCCGAATTTCAAGAACCGCAGCGAGCATCAATGTGTTTTCCAGCTCTCAGTCCGATTTCACCTCTGTTGAACCTGCGGCAGCCGTAGCGGTTCGACCCAGTGATTGGACGGACTTTTTGAACCGCAGCGCGAGCATCATCAGCATCAGCTGGAGTTCTTTTCAAGATCTCCGTCCCATGTCCCATCCCTTTGAATCCACAGAGCCGTAGCAGTCCGACCCACTGATAGGGATTGATTTAGTGACCGCAATGCGAGCATCATCAGCATCAGCTGGATATTCTTTCAAGCTCTCTGTTACCACTTCCCCTCCCATTGAATTCACCCCCAAATGATTCCCTGCAGCCGCGAAGCAGCTTGAAGTGGTAGTAGATGGCAGGGAAAACCTGCGAAAAAGGGATAGTCGTGGAGAAGGGCTTCGAAGCACAGTTGGAGGCTCTGGGGCTCCAGCAAGTTGGTCGAGACACAACATCAATAAGGCACTGTCGGCCTAGGAGGGATTACGTGCATCTGACCAAGTACATGTCTTGCTGTAGAGGCGCAGATCATGTACCAGCTTTTACCAGTTAACCGGGCTGGCTTCGATGGAAGCACAAGTGGTGGGTGTGAGTGGGAGGATGCAGTCGCACTTCCGTGCGGCAACAGAAACTCGTGTTTCATGCCAGGGCATCCGGCGATCCTTCCAGTCTACGGGTAGGGACGATTCCTGCTACTACTGAGACGACAGCCGTCTCAAACGCAAACGTCGCGAGCGCTTTGCCGAGTGCTGTGCCCAATGTTGCTGCATCACCTGCACGCAAGCAATGCCTGGAACGCTTCAGGCCTACGGAAGAGCGGGGCAGTAAGGAGCCGACTTTTATCCAAGTCCTGATCTCGGAGGCGATCAAGAGTACCTCATCTCACGTCTTCTGAGAAACATTAGACCATGACTTCTGCTGCCAGGAGTTACCAGGGTCCCCTGCAATCACCGAGAATCCGTAGGCCCGTCTGACCTCAAGCTTTAAGTTCTGCAGACTGCAAAGGGGCCGAAGGCGTTGCTTCAAGCAGCGCTCGAAACTGGCATCTCTGTATGTAAGTACACATGCCATGCCATGTTGTTGCATGTATGCATACATGTGTTGATCTGGCAAAAATCAGAGAAGGCTTACAGATGCGCAGCAAACTCGCCTTCTAATTAAAGTAGCTGTGCAGCACAGATGCTGGGAAAAAGCACACTTGTGGGAGAAAAGCCATGCATCCCGAAACAAGGCTCGCTGTAGAGTACAGGAGGTCGCGGGAACGTACGCTAGTTGATGCGGTGCAATGATGTAATGTCATGACATGCCCATGTATGCATGTGATATGCGTGTCTCTGTGTATATGTCTCTGTGTGTGTGTATGTACATGGTAATGCCTTCACTGCCTGCACAGGGGCTTGTGAAGGCATCCAGACATGCTGGCGATGCGTCCTGCTTACTTCTGGCATGTTCTGTGTGTTCGCCGACAGCAATCTGGTCTGCCAACATCCGTCTTCACATCGCAGCATTCCAAGATCCCGTATCTGAGGTGCGGACTTTGGCAACCCAGCCTGGCGACAAAAAAAAATCGCAGGTGAAGAAACGGCTCCCGATTGGGGCTTTCGATTTTCATTCATACTTTCATACATTGCAGCGGCTTTGCCCATCTTTCTCGGCTCCTGGAGCTCCCAGGCTGTTGGCGATGAAGAGGCCCTCGTTCAAGGGCGTCAGAAGGACCACCTGGGCTCTGCGAACCACTCTTTTCCTCTTCTCAGATCTCCCCTCAGACATCCAGTCGAGCTTTGGACCACGAGCGGCAAAGTCCACTTGTGCTGCTGGTTCAGAGCAAAGCACAGCATCACCTCAGCGAAAGTCTCTGCTGCAGCACCCGCGCCAACCATAGCGTCATAGCGACAGTGTGCGTCACCCTAGCCCTAGTGCTCCCCAAGGCTAGAGCCGTGAAGGTGTACGGCACGTGGTGTGCAATGAGCTCGCCGGACGTCCAGCCTCAATATTGGCATACCAGATCAGGCCAAAAAACAACAGGTCAACTGAGGCACGAGCCGGGTGACATCGCACACCAGCCAGGGCCCAAGGCGATCGCTACCTCTGACCAGTAGATACGAGTACAAGTCTCGAACCCTGCTTCTCCCTTTCGCGCGAGAGGCCTCAAGCACATAAATGCTGCATAGGTGAAACTGAGCAGCGCTGACACCTGGGGTGGGGCTTTTCGGAGACTCGATCTCGCAGCTTGAACACACAAGCGCAGGGTTCCGGCGTGGTAGAATCTCGGGGCCGTAGTGGTCATTCGCCAGGAGAGCGACCTGGTCACCGGTCACTCTGAGGCGCAGGGCACGAGGATGAATCGCGATCCGCTCGGACATCCTGGAGCTTCCTTGAACTCTCCCCCTCGCAGAGCGCACAACCATCTGGGTCGCCGCACGCCCTCGACAAAAACAGCAAGGTAGGCCACGAGGATGCACCAGGAGATCCTCAAAGAAAATCTGCTTTGGGCCCCCCGCAGCCCGCAGTAGCTACTCCGAGTCCGCAGTCCGCTCTGACTGAGTCCCCCGGGCCAAGTGTGGGAGGGCGGCTGGAGCTCAACCCTGCCTAAAGGCTTCGGAGCTTTGATCGCAACAGCCGACGCCGTGCCGGGCCTTGCTTTCCCGTGGAGATCTTTTGTGGAGAACCCAGGCTCACTTCGGAAGCCTCGTGCAAAGCACGCAAGGATGCACGCATCCTTTTTCCGTGGCAAGCTTCAGGGCACTGGCCATCGCCGGGGAGCAGCCGCTAACCGGAAAACATGGGGGCTCTTTCAAAGGACGTCGGTAATCAAGTCGGCACTCTCCTCTGGGTTTGGCTCTACACTGGGTCCGGGGAGGGGGGGGGGTGCGTTTCGGTCTTGTCTATGTCGCTCACAGTCTGACAGTTCTTGCTGCTTTGAGGGCACTGGGGCCCGTGGGGACGGGGCTTGGGCTTCTTGAGCAAACCGAAAACAAAAGCATCGAAGCTGACAACCGCCAGTCCCAGAGAGTCCCAAGCCTTCAAGCTCAGAGTCGGTTCAGAGCTGTCCTACTAGTACCTGCGCGGCAACAGATCAGCTTCCCCCAAGAATATATGAATCAGCAACATCTTTCGGGCATATGCAAACTATCCTCTTTGACCATGCTTGCTCTACGCCTCTACGCCACTGCCTTATGATGCCGCACAGCACGCTCGGTGATTCCGCCCTCGTTTGACCCTCGGGCCTGCCCTGCATCGGGTCCGCGCACGTCTTCAGGATGTGATTCTCCCTTTGAGGGACTCCGGGTGAAACTTTTTTGGGCTACTTGGAGCTCGAGGCTCAAGCTGTAAATGCTTTAGGGATACTCCTGTGCTATTGACTCTATACATATATATATATATATATATATATATGGTTTTAAGGGTATAGGGGGTGAAATTGGAGCTCATCCCACATGCAATGGCCCTGCGCCGATCACCAGGCGGCAGGGACGGGGCACCTGAGAAAGCGGCGGCTCCAGGACCAGACGTTTCACTCCTTCTCTCTGAGTTCCTCAAAGCGCCAGAATCCCAGCTTTCGTTCTTTGCAGCGATCCGGTGGGTCTTGAAGCTTCTGACCCTAGCCTAACCCACTTGAGCCCCTGAGCTTTATAAGGGAACTGGAACCCTCTCATCTTCTTGGCACGACGAGGCGTCTGGCTTTCAGGGGTCCGGGCTCTGAGCAGCTCTTCGTAGAGCTCCTTGCCGTTGCCTCGCATCCCGCCCTCGGGCTTCTGCGAGTCGATCTGGCGCCGGGGAGAAACGGCTTGGGGCTTCGGAGTTTATACTAATGCTCACATTCCTAATCCTGTTTCTATATTGCCCCAGAGAGAAAAAAGAGGAACTTTGAAGGAACCGGAGAAGATCCCTGAGCAGAGAGGAGAACAACAAAGGAGCAGACGAGCCGAATTCGGAGAGATGCTTTCATCGTAGGAGCTGTGCACCCTGGCCCTGGCAATTACGTATATTTTCAAGAAAAACCACACATAGTAGGAGAGCCTCCACAAGTAGATCGCCGGCTTTCACCTGCAGCATGGAGTTCAGTTCAACACGGGCTTTCATGGAGCATTTTTTTCACGGCCTGCTTGTCGGGATGGGCTTTGTTCCAATCGGACAGCGCTCCCGTGCTGTGGATCGCCGCGATCCGCAGGCCGTTGTGTTCTTTGAACCTACAAACATAAGAATGCACACGAAGCGCTCTTTTTCACAGAAGTTTTCGACGCTACCGTCGGGGTCCGTGCGTGAAGGCACCGAGTCGCCACTTGCCAGAACCACCGGAAAGCATCACCTCCAGATCGAGACGAGGGCCCCTTCAATTGAGGGCCTTCCACGGATGGTGTGTCCAACAAACTTTGAATTCGAGTTCTCCTACTCGATTGTTATTATGACTACGACTTGCAAAGGCCCTGATTTCTTCAAGTCCCCGGCATCGAACTCCTCTCCCAACGTCCTTCCCGTGTCCGCCATGGCAAAAGGCCCGGATGTTGTCAAAGTTGCGATGACAACAAAACTGCCCAAGTGGAACAAGTCTTATTACTGTTACGAGAAATGTTAACCTAATTAGAGATTACGATTTCTTTATCATGACTCACCGTGAGACCGTTCCTCTTCGCCAGAAAATTGGACCTGCTTCTGATTCTTCTGCCCCACACCCATGCAAGGTGCTCGCGGCGCTGGCGTCCCTACAGAGCCATGATGGAATGCGCCCCACTCCAAGTGCCTAGGCTGCTACTAGTGTCGCACTCAAGTCCCGAACAAGTTCAATGCAGTAGCAGGTGCCCGGCAAGGTGTAAGGAGGGTTGATGCCGCTTTTATCCGTGGGACAGTGCGCTGCTGACGCGGGTTGACACCGTGAAGACAAGATTTGCACAAATTAATACGGGAGGTGAATTGACAGGTAAACGAGACGATCATAAGGGATGGGAACAGAGGGAACATGGACTGTTTCTTCCCCCGAGAGCTTCAGAAAAATCTCAAAAGGGGGAGCGTGTGAAGCACCAGGAGCCGCCCAACAGCACCCAACTTGTACAGAAAGACTGCGCAGATCACATCCATGACTGCACTGGCTCGCAGCACGCACAAGGGTTCTTCAAGTCATTTTGACAGGCATTCATTCACTCAGACCGTTCACTTACTCACAGCTAGCTCTTCAGATCATGAGATGTCACAGGAACTGCTCCCGCTCCTTATGACGTTGTCGTAATTGTTGAAGTTGTAGCTTCGATGCTGCTGCACTATTGCCACATCAGCAGAGTTTTCTTCCTTCACTCTCTTTGCCATGCAGCCACCACGAATCAGTCTCCTTTGGAGGTCCTAGGATTAGCAGATTTGCAGCCCTGCCCACCGGGCTCCTTCGGGAGCTCGGGCCGGGGGCGCTCTTGGTCTAGTCGAATTCCGCCATTGTGTGACACGAGAGTAAGGCTGAAGGCGCTATTCGGAAAATTGGAGAACCGGGAAGCCCTCCTGTTACGAAGGCTGAACCATCATTTCTCTCCCCGAGACAGCTTCGATGCGATGTTCTGAAAGTGTGACACACGGTCTCAATGCCTTTGGCCTCAGGACTGAATCGGACGAGGACCGCAACTAGGGAGAGGTGACATTCTTAAGGATTGCAACTTGCACGGAGGACTCACCCCGATTCGGGAGCCTGTGCAGGAAGCCGCAGCCGTGGCAGCTGCACGCGTGGCACATGCAAGGCACCGTTCAAAAGCCAGCTGGGCGCCCTCTTCTCAGTCGGAGCAGAGTCTTCGCTTTCCTTGGAGCTGCAGGCCGTTCCTCAAATTCCCTCCCACCCCCGACATACCGGAATTACGGGAACGCCGAAGCGATCAGAGACAAAGATCGTACTTAGCTTTTCTTCTCTGCCCGTCGTGAAGCCTGATGACGGAAGCAGCCGTGCTCCCGAGCTGCCTGTTTCAGCAACGTCGGTCTAACCGGAGTGCGCTTCCATCACTGGATAACAAAACTATGTATTGGAGTTATCATGCAAACTGCTCTGATCTGATGTGTCTTCTCGATGCTGCCCTCAAAGGTCCTTCAGCGCACATCTGGTTGCACATCTACTGCCGCTTGCGTCGGGCTCAATAATGTATGAAAGGTCTTTCCCATGTCAAGCGCCGCTTTAAGCGGCCTAAATCCTTAATCGAAGTGATTTGAAAATGAGCCAGACGCTCCCTTTAAAAGGGGTCACCTGGCAAAGCTAAGGCGCATTCACCACGAGCCAGCCTGCAAAGCTGCTTGGGTACTTAGCATCGATGGACTGGCCTTGCTCAAAAATGGCCTTCGCTTCCTCCATGCCTTAGACAGCAGATGACTTGGACGCGAAGGACTCAGGCTTAAGCTGCAGGCTTGAGCGGAGCACTTAAAGGCAGAGGCACACTCCTTTGCTGAAGTCATGCAAGTGGCTCTGCTGGAGCTCGTTGAACCTCCAGATCATGTAAACTCCCGGCTCCTCAGGAGCCTTGAAGGAGAAAGCCGTGTCGAAGGTGTCGCCGCCTCCGGGAATGGAGTCGTAGACCTCCGCGATGATCGTCGTGTCCAGTACGAGCAGCAACTGATGCAGGCTCGTGTCACCCTCCTTGTTCTGGATCCATCCCTTGGCATGAAGCTCGACGTCCTCCCCTGGGGCGGCTCGGAGAACGGCTGTGGGCTTCCCATCCTTCTCCAAGGTCACGCTGTGTGCATAGCTGTCCACAGCCTGCCGACGCTCTTCGTCATAGGCGCGGCCGTGCTCCAACTGCTGCCAGATGGCAGCATCCTCCTCCAGCCACGGAGGAGTCTCTTGCGAGCGCTTGCGGAAGTAGTCGCGAACATAGCCACAATGATCTCCATCAATTCCTAACTCTGCAGCCCAAGCTGGAACAGTTGCCTTGCTAGCATTCGCAGCTTCTTCCTTGTCAGTGTTCGTAGCTTCCTTGCCAGCATCCGCAGCAGCGTCTGCCTCATTTTCGGGCACGTCCGCGCTGCCGGAGCTGGCCACCACGAGTGTTCCTGTAAAGAAGGCCGGGTACTGGCTTGCATCGACAACGCTGCCCTTGGCCGTCAAGCTCGCTTTTGCTTCTTCCATGCCTGGCTGAAGTAGTTGGTTTGAGTGTCCCTGGGTCTTTGCTCGTCCAACCATAAACTCGCCAACAAGTCTGGGGCTTTAGGCGTGAAGGACTCCGCACCAAGCAGGCACTAGACTAGTGACTAGACCGACTTCGGTAATTATCTGATGGTCTTATCATGCAAGTGGCTCTGCTGGAGCTCGTTGAACCTCCAGATCATGTAAACTCCCGGCTCCTCAGGAGCCTTGAAGGAGAAAGCCGTGTCGAAGGTGTCGCCGCCTCCGGGAATGGAGTCGTAGACCTCCGCGATGATCGTCGTGTCCAGTACGAGCAGCAACTGATGCAGGCTCGTGTCACCCTCCTTGTTCTGGATCCATCCCTTGGCATGAAGCTCGACGTCCTCCCCTGGGGCGGCTCGGAGAACGGCTGTGGGCTTCCCATCCTTCTCCAAGGTCACGCTGTGTGCATAGCTGTCCACAGCCTGCCGACGCTCTTCGTCATAGGCGCGGCCGTGCTCCAACTGCTGCCAGATGGCAGCATCCTCCTCCAGCCACGGAGGAGTCTCTTGCGAGCGCTTGCGGAAGTAGTCGCGAACCTGGGGCAGCTGCACGAGATGTTGAATCGAGTTCGAACACAGACAGAGAGAGAGAGAGAGAGAGAGAGAGTGAAAGAGAGAGAGGGAGACAGAGGGAGGAAGACAGAGAGAGGGAGAGAGTTCGTTCAGGGCAAAAGGGACTGCTTGCCTGGTCGCAATGCCCGTCGAGGCCCAAGTCCAAGGCCCAAGCTGGTGCGGTCGCTTTCGCCGCCTCCTGGGCTCCTTCTGTTAGTTCTGTTCTCTCGGGTGAGGAGTCCTGCGCTGACTGGCTTTGGGGCGTCTCTGCAGTTGGCGCCACGGCCTTTAGCTCGGGCTCGGCTGGAACGACTTTCGTCGACTGGCAGCCCATAGCTTAAGCAAAACTGATTGCGATGGGCTGAGGATAAAGGAGCTGCAGACCGCCGCACCTCCCGAGAAATCAGAATCTGCATCGCAACAAGCCGCTACGTCGCTCTGCTCCAGACTTGCCAAGCGGCCTCAAGCCGTGGCTACTGCCGGGACTTCTGCCTAAGTTCCAGAGACTTCAAGGACGTCGCAGCAAAGTGTTTCCTGCCTCCATCTTCTTGCGCAAGCTTCTGACTCCTCGCCTGTCTAGCTGCATGGCACTGCATGGCATTGCCGAACCGCAATCGCGCCGTCGCTTGGAGCCCGGCAAGCCCGCCCCGCAGGCTTGCGCTGCAGCGTCCGAGTCCCAATCCTTCACCGCCTGTGCAGCGACAAAGGGATCCATCGAGACAGGCCGGGCCCCACCAAAACCAGCCTGCGGCGTAAGGACAGAGACGCAGCTGGCCAGAACCACAGCACCGTCCTCTTCCTGGAATCGACCTTGAAAACCGCACGAGTTCCCGCAGTCCAGAACTTCCAAGGTTCACAACACAGCGGGGCCTTGCTCCCAGCGCATGCCACTCGTCGTGGCGGCCGTCATGGCTTCCATCTCCTCCTTGGAACGGGCCCGGCGCTCCACTTTCGGAAAGTGTAGCTCGGCCGGACCGAGTGCGACACTACTTTCTCCAGGGCCGCCTGCGAAAGCATCGGCAGGAGAATCAAAGAACTGCACGCCTTCCAAACCCGGCCTGGAAGAAAGGATGGTCCGCGGATAGCCTCCTGCATGGGCGCCACGGCAGATGCCAGTAGCAAGCGTGAGCAAGTGCACGCGGTGCGCTTCCGCTTCCCCAATCCTTCCATCGCTGGATTGCCAATCCTTACGGGCAGCTTAGGGCAGCTTGGAAGCTTCTGGCATTCTTCGTAATTCCCAGCATATCGACTGCTCTGGCCGGGCAGACACCCTGCATAATTGCAGAAGCTTTCGAGAAGAGCTTTTTCGGCTTCAAGCGTTCAGCTTCCTCTAAAAAACGAGATTTCTCAGTCTGTTTTCCCTTGAGCACCAGTTATGCAGAGAACCAGGGATCGCCAAAGTCTTCTGCTTCAAGCAAAATCCGCACGTTGTAAGGTGAACTCCCCTCCGCTCGTGTCAGAGCAGCTGCCGAAGCTGCGGCCAAGCATCTATTTCGTCCGCTGGCACGCCCGGCTCTACCTTGCCGTCGTCCAAGTATAGCACGTCCACGGCATCACCTCAGGTCACCATCGTCTGCTTATACTGCGGACAGACAGGACAGTTTTGACCATTTGTTTCAGTTTGAGCCGATTTTACCAAGTGCAATGTTGCTTGGCTGTTGGATGGTAATGTCCTCACGCTTTCGATGCTCATGGACGCATGGTGCTGGTACTTGCTCAGGTTCCTCCTTTGTTTTGATTGAACACTTCTTGGGGGCGGGCTGTGGACTCGAACAATCACAACCTGGAAATCCAGGTCGTCGATTCTCCGCACGACGACCTGACAAAGAGAGGCCACTGCCCACTAGAAGACTGCTTCGCAGAGAGGCCACTTGTGGCCGCGCCTGGCCGGCCTGGGATGACCTGCGACAAACACACCTCCTCTGCCAAACTCCTACTACTACCAAGTAGTATCACTCCAAGCGCCTACCGCCCGGGCTCCCCAGGGCCCTCCGGGGCCCTGGCTCTTGGAGCATCGACGCAGAAAAAATCAAAACTCCCAGAGCGCCGAGCAGAGCACAGAATAGAGCCCGTCTTGGGCACCTTCGGCTCTACAACGCCGTTGTAAGGATTCTGAGGCTCATCTACATTCATCTCTCTAGGTATAGTTTTAGAGTTATATATACTTGATTTGAACTATGTACCATAGGTACTGTCGTGTATGTACAGTACATATAAACTTATGTGCTCTTTCATTCGTAGGCACCTCTCTGTCGAGACACTGCTGTGTCATCACGTCTGTCCGCCTTGTCAAAAAGCCCTATATTCTCTGTGCCGCAAGCCGCACGGCAATGGTAAATGCATTGGTGCAAGAACAGGTCCAAGCCGCGGCCGATTTCGCACGAGGCATCTTGGAACAGAGTGACTTTTTGAGTGGCGGTCTCTGCAACCTTCGGGATTCTGGGGTGAGACTCGGTGAGAAATGGTGAGATGCAGCGAGGGCAAGCCAAGCGGTCAGGCAACGAAATTGGCCGTCTTCATCCGAAAGGATCTGGCGCATGCGCACGCTAAGCCGCTAAACTACCAGCTGTCGGGGTCTCGATGACCTCTGGGGCCCCTAGGCCCTAGGCCCCAGACTTCTGCAGCTTGGGCATGGAGGGGTTGTAGTAGGCCGGGCCAGGTGCCGAGGAGACCTGTGAGCAGCTCTTTGCATCACATCGATCTCGAGTGGCTTCGGGGGGCCACATCATGAAAACGTAAGAAGCCTTGGGAGGTTTTGCCCGCACCCGGGAGTCGCTCGCTTGCGTTCGTTTCCACATGTGGAGTTCAATGCTTTTTGCATCGGAGCAAGAAAATCGATACGAACCAAACAGAAAAACCTTTCTGGGGGCTTCAGCATCCCGTTTCGCTGGTCAAGACCTGCCGGAAAATCTTGAACTTGGATCTTGGGGTCTGCCCGAATCAATTTCATGTCACGGGGTGGTCATTCGGGTGTGCAGGCGCCAGCAGAAACATCATCTGCGTTGTTGCATGGGATTCACAGTATGCCATTTGAACGCGTGCGTATTCCACTGTCTTCCACTGCAGCAGAAAGCAATTGCACTCCAGAATGTAGTAGTTCAGTAGTGCATACCATACTGACTAATTACTGATTGATTCTGCTTCATCCGACGGGCATTTACGGCGCGATATACGGGCATTTACGACGCGATATAGCTGACAGATCGCTGTGCAGAGCCTGAATCTTCCCACGGTCGGAGGTCGACTGAAAGGCGGAACGCAAAGTGCGGGCCATCGGTGACGCGACCTGCACTCAAGTGACGGCCGTTGTGGTGCCAGGCCGCCATACCAGACGGAGGGTGCGCGCCTTGCGCGGCTCGTACTTGCCCGGGCCCGGGAAGGAGGACTCCTCCGAAAGAGATGAGGGAGGAGGTCAACACCTTCTACAAGAGAGACGCAGCTGCTCAGGCGCTGCGCCGCTGCGCCTGTGCTCCAAGGTCCATCCGCTTGGAGCCCTGGAAGGCACTCCCGGCCGTCGCCTTTCGGAGTCTCACAGCTCCCGGCTTCCGCTGGCAGCTGCCATGGGCCATGGGCAGAAGCCGAGCTTCGCACTGCGCTCGAGTGGGCCTTCGTAATGTCCTCCGAGCAGCCACTTCACAGGCAGCTGCGGCGGCGGATGCGATTGAGAGCTGCTTTTGAGAGAACAGCAGGGAACCGCGCCGGCTCCTGGTATTCCCCGGGGCCCGGCAGGGCCTCTGCCAGGGCTTGGCTTCCGAGGCACTGCCGGCTCACCTGCCCAGACCCCAAAGCAAGGACGACGGACGAGTCGACGAGTCAACTCTCTCTAAAAAAAGCCTGAAGTGGAGCCGGAGGCCCCGCCTCGTTGGCAAAGTTGCCCAGGAGGCCTGGAGCCAAGCTTCCGGCGGGAAGTCCGGCAACAACACGCACGCCCCGCGTGGGCAGTGGGCGGCCTCTGGCTTTGGCCGAAGCCGCCGGGAGGTCTCGGTGCACCCGCGTGATGCGCGGCACCGAGCGCGCCTGCAGGCAGGGAAGAGTCTCAGAGAGATGCGCCCGGAACCCTGCAGCAACGCAGCAACTCTCTCTCAGTCTCAGCAGGTGGTTGGCCCGTGCCCGCTCCTTGAAGGTGGGCATCCGCATGTCCAGGCTCTGCAGGTGCTCGGGGATGTAGCCCACGGGCCTCCCAAGCTGCGCTGCGCTGCGGCGCTGCGCTGCGGCGCTGCGCGCGCAGCAGCATGTGCAGAGCCGGATCACCAGGCGGGGCCTCACCAGGCCGTCGTGGTAGTCGCCGGGGCCTGGCGCGGAGGCCTCGTCGCTTGGGTTCTCCAAGCGGAGGCTGGTCGACCGGAAGGCCGCACGGGCGCCCTGCTGACTCACTGCGCGGCAGCATGCTCCATGCTCAGACTTCCCTTTTGGCTGCGAGCCTCGCTCTGGTTGGCCAGGAGCCTGGGTTCGTACTGCCTGGCTCTGCGACTGCTAGAATCTGCTATAGAAGCAGCAGCGCCAGCATGGCATGGCATCGCAAGTGCAGCCAAGGGCACCCCGGGCCCGGAAGCTCCGAGAGGCTCTGAGCCTCCACATGTCTGCAATGAACCATTGATCATATACTCTGAGCTCTTCTCTTCTCTTCTCTCGCAGTCGTCGTGCTGTTATAAAAGAAAGTGTCCGGCTCGAGAAGTTTTGGAGGAGGCGAAGGATGCAGCGGAGGGCGCCCTGACCGCCTTCTGCATGGGAGCACCGTAGGCGCCTCAAAACGAAAAAAATCACCGCAGTTCACCAGTGCACTCTCCTCCCTCTGCCTGGGCCAGGGCAGCCCAATCCAGGAAGCAGGATCCTGAGCAGGTTCCGCTTGCAAGAGGCTTAAGATCCGAGAGGGGGGCAGCGAAGGATCAGAAGAGCAAAACGCACAGAAAAAAGAGAAGCAAAGCAGACCGAGACCCGAGAGAGAGACAGAGAGACAGAGAGAGAGAGGCTCTTATATACGGCCACGGCTTTTCTTGGCGCCGAGCCGGACGTTGAAGCGCCGGGCTTTCGAGGCGAAGCCGCCGGTGCCCCCTGGCACGCAGCCCGGGGCCGGACATCCCAGGTCTGAGAAGCGTAAAAACTAGAAACCAACCCCTCTGAAACGGGGTTTCTCCACGCTGGCACAACCGGGCCCCTTTCATGAGTAAGGCTACACTACGAGTTGATTAATGGCTCTTCGGGTGTCCCTGGTTTCTTAACCTCCTCTAACAGGCACTTCTTCAGGTTCAAACGACAGCATTGGAGTTGCCACCATCGGGATGAAGCGTTATGCGAGCTACTGGTAAGTTGGTGTGTGTGTGTGTGTGTGTGTGTGGCTTCAGTAAAGATACAGAAGCAACAAGTTGACAGAAGTTAGCTCTAGGCGGAGCTTAGGGACAAACTGCGCCTCCCTGGCAACGGCCACTCAGCCTCAAGCATCTCTTGAAGCCCCCGAAGCCTTCTGAGGGAAGAAACGAACTTCGTAAGCGCGGCAGCAGGGCTGACGCCCCAGCTCGGCCGACCCGTGAAGTCCTGACAAGCGCGCCATGACCGATCACATATTACGTGGTAAAGTCGTATTGTACGGCAAAGCAAGCTACATGATACGGAAATACAGGAATTGCAGGATCAGAGAATCAGGTGCCTCGTGGAAGGCTTTCTGCTGGCCGTAACTGGGCAGGGCCGAGGCGGGGCGAGGCGAGCAAAAGGGGACGGAAGCCCCGAGCCTGCCAGGCCCTGGCGCTTCGCTCGGCGCCTGGACCTCTCCATGGGTTTCGGGTCTTGCCGAGCCACCCAGCGGAAGTGGAGGGAGAATCGCTGCTGCACATGCTACAAGGTCGTGGCCTGAGCTTGAAAGGCCCCCACCCGCCCGTGACTGAAACGGACACTGACCCTCTCAGCAAAGGCAAAAGCCGAAAGCTTCGCAAGCGCAAGCGGCCTCGAAGCGCATGGACCGGCTGTTGAACCCTTTGTACTGCGCAGCAGGGCGCGGAACAGAAAAGAATCGCAGAGATTGACAAACTGGCTTGCTCCAGAAGAGTCAGAGTCTCGGCAGTAGAACAGGAGAAGTGGACAGTGGTTGCCGACGCCTCTCGGTTGCCTTTGATCAGGGTCACGGTGTATCGAGAGGGTATGGTGGGCACCTCGGCGCAAGGTTGAAGGCCTTTCGGATCCTCCAAGACGCGGAAGTCTCCGCTCTGTCTCGGGATCGCACAGAACGACTCTTCTCCATCACCTGGACAGTTCCCCCCAAAACCCGGAAACATCCCCGCCCCCCAGGCCCAAGCCCTGGCACTGCCCGAGCCCGAGCGATGCCTGCGCTCGGGAGCCTTGGCCTTGGAGCTTCCCTTTTGGCGAGGCGCTCCGGCTCGGGGAGCTCGAGGCCCTCAGAAGTTTCAACGCACGAATCCGGCACGTGTAGTGCCTACACACGCACAAATCATATCTATCTGTCTATCTATATATAACTTAACATGTTATAAACTAGATGGTGACCCCGAACTTCCTAGCCCTAAACTCTCCTGCTCTCTACCGATGCTTCGATTCTCCCGGCCTGGCGCCGGCTTCAGGCTCCGCCTGGCACCGAAGTTACAGAGGGCGCGTTGGGGATACCTGAGAGTATGAGAGGTCCTCTTACTAGAGGGGCCTTTCTTCAGTTGGGTACCGGCACCCAGTACAAGAGAGAGAAAGGGGGACAAAGAGAGAGGGAGAGAGAGAGAGAGAGAGGGACATGCATGAACGCGTGTGGTTTCATGTGCGAACGGGTTTCGTCACAACTAGTGGTCTCCATCGTCATCGTTATCATGGGTCGTCGTCATTGCCCTCATCCTCGGCGGTGCTAGAAATCCAGGATGGCAAAATGCAGTGTGTGTATTTACGCCATGTAATGTATGTATCAAGAGTTGATGGCTCAGATCCATGCCTCATGGCCAGCGCTCTTCACTTCCTCTGGTGGCCTGGAGAGCTTCAGAGTGAGAACAAGGACTGCATGCGAAGCTGAAAACATGTCCGAATTCTTTGAGATGAGTCATTGCTCCCATGACTGTCAAACTGCTGCATGGGGTCCAGGAACGGTCAGCCAAGGCTCGCAGGGTTTGGTGCCGGTGTCGCGGCCATTGCCCGCAGGTCTGGTGCCTTCGGTGGCCTTCACAACCTGTTAACTTCTGTACAGTGCTTTCTGTTTGTATAGACATGATCCGCGCCATGTGTGGTTCGAATCACCTAATAGCGCCAGTAGCGCTGGATTCTGCCACGACTGCCTCTGGCCGAGGGGGCTTGGGCCTGGGCCTTGAAGCTGCGGATAGCGCCATGGGTAAACGCAAGCATGACTGCCGCACACAGACGCTTCCTCTTAGGGATGGCCAGCTTTCCGTCTAGCATGCAGCGTCAGTGGATTCGCCTGGCAGAAGTGCCCTGGCCCAAACTCACTTTGAAACAGAATCTATGAACTGCCTGTCTGGCCAATTTGAAAAATGCGGCCAGTTTGAAAGGAACAAGACAGGAGCTCCTGCGTCCCATGGGCCATCGAAATGGAAGATTAATACCCAGGGGACTTGCGGAAGAAGCCCGCCAACTCTGCAAGCTCAGAAAGATTCGGGAAACAACTCTGTTGGTGTCCCCTCTTAAAGAGTTCTGGCTGCCAACTCAAGCCGCAAGCCTTCAAGCTCTTCAACGTATGTACTTTTGTTTGAACAGAGCACAGAGTGGGAGCTTCAGTCCTAGCTTCCATTGCAGGGCTTGGGCGGCTCGGAGGCGCAATGGAACGAATGAAACTCTCAGCACGGCCTCCTCCGGGCTCAGTAGCAGCCCAGGAAGGAGCACGTACCTTCTGCACCTTCGTGCGGGCACGGGCCCCATAGGGCCGGAGCCAGGGCATGGGTACTTGGCAGTGACCGGGACCAAGGCAGGGGCAACACAATGAAAACAACGCATTCAGCTGCTCGCCGTGGCTTCTTCCAGGACCTCAGAACTGAGCTCAGAAGCGCATGGGCGGGAGCAAACCGCGGGACACAGCTGACACAGACTCAACACCGCAAGAGCCCTCACCGGTGCACAAACTGGCCGCAGAGTCTCAGATTTCTCTTCTGAAGGAACTACGCACCAAGATCAGACATGAGTGGGGCGCTGGAAAAGTTATAAGCCCCCCCCCCCCCCAATAACCGAGGTGCTAGTCGAGATCGGGCCGCGAAGGAGTTACGGCCACAACCCGCTCAAAAACAAGCGCAAGGGGTCGCTGCAAGCCGCCCCCTTGGAATACTGCACACAAGCTGAGCACTCGGCTTTGTCCTCAGACCTGAGATGAGCAGTGCATGCCACCAGCTTGCAGGCTTTGTGCCTTCTTACCTCTGGGCCACTCGGCTCCACCATAACACCCCCGCCCAAAGCCGAGGCTCCTCGGGCTCCTCTCTTTGCTCTTGGACTCTACTGTCTTTTGGGCGCCGGACTTATCGGAGAGCGAGCTCAGAACTTCCACCTGCACCTCGCCCGTCTCCGACCTGGGGATCTAATGCTCCTTGACTCTTGTACTTCTGAGCCCTGCTGTCGGCTAAATTTCAACAAGCTCGGACCTCAGAACACCTCTCTTGTGCCTATCCCTAAGAACCCGGCGTGCTCAGCCGCACAGCACGCTTGTCCTCCGCTCTCCAATGCGGTCACAAAGCTTACAAGCACATGTAAATGCGGATTTCTACAGAGAGGTTTCATGACGAGTCCAAGCACCGCAGAAGGCTCCGAAGGCCTTCCGAGACTCGGCTGCATTTTGCAGGAGATGCTCGGCCAGCGTGTCCTCCCCCCCGCGCGCCCGCAGGGGATCGAAATCGAAACTTCAATCCCGGCAGCTCGAGGAAGCCTCGAGCATGCGAGTGATGGCCCGGCGCAGTGGCCTGCTCAGAAGCATCGAATTTCGTAAACAGGCAGAGACAGAGTCATACAGTGGAACAGAGATTCGCGCAGATGGAATGGAAGGGTAATCGTGTCAGGCCTCGCCCCGTAGGCCGGGTCGTAGCCTTCCTTCAGCACTTGCTCCTGCATTGGGATCCGAGGCAGCAGATAGCTGCGCAATGCTGCGCTAGCCAAGCTTGCACAGTGCGCTCCTTGAAGCTCTGGGAGAGTGTGACTTCCAGGTCCTGTCGTGGTCAAGTTTCCAGCAAGGCGAAGTGAACAGCAAAGTATAGGAGATGGCTGCGATGGCGGCGTATGCACCATGGCTGCACGCAGCAGAATTTTGTATAGACGCAATGCGAGTCCGGATGCTCCTTGTCGGCAAGCCTGCCGCAGGAGTTAGAGTCAAGAGCTGTCGGCGACGTAGCGAAAGCAGCCTGGCCTGGCCATCACCTTCTTGAACTCCACCTCCAGGCGCGACGGCGACGCCACGCGAACTCTGATCTCGTGGCTCCCAAAAGCACTCGGAGCCTCCGCGATGGCCCTGACGTCATCTTCCTTCAGAGGTCGGAAGACGATGACCTCGTCGAGCCTGCGGAGCTGCACCGGCTGGACCCCGGGCCCGGCTCGCTCGTCGTTTCGGCAACGGCCGGCGGACGCCTGTTCAAGAACTCCGGTTTGAAGAAGCTCTTCATCTCCTCGATGAGAACACCACTCTGCAACGCAAGATGCTAGCAGCCAGCAGGATTGGCGCTGCTAGACACGACTCAGTCCTCGTGGACGAGCTCCTTGACCTTGCTGTACTTGTCCTCCTCCTCATCCTGGCGAACCGAAACTACAACTAGCTAACGCTCTTCCCTGCTCCTTCTGAGACTCTCCAAGAGCGCCTCGCCTCCCCCACGCCGAAGCCCAAGCCCAGGCCACCTGCTGCGGACTTTTGCACCTGGGTACATTGCAGGTCACACTACGGTTGCTACGACGAGGAGAGCTTGGCGCTCTCATTTTCGCACTACTCCGATCCGAGCCCCTGGCAGAGCGGCTTCCAAGGTTGGAGGTCATCACAACCTCACACACGAGCTGTGAACACACAGCTGACAGAACCCTCCGACATCCTGCCGAATCCACCGCATCCGAGAGCTCCGGGGAACCCGGCGAGGGTGTTGGCAAAAGAGACGACACGTCCTCTGGAGTCCGTCAGCCTGGAGCCGTCTTGCGAAGTCCCTGCCTAGAGAGAGCGACGTCTTCTGAGGCTGTTGCCTGCCGTCATCAAGCAGCTGCAGAAGGATGTTGAAAACATCCGGGTGGGCCTTCTCCACCTGCATAAAACGAATCCAAAAACACCAAAGAGCACCCCTCTGCCACATCGACCATCGAAGTTGCAAAGTTGCAGAGGGCCGCCTCGTCGAAGAGCACCAGGGAGTATGGCCGCCTCCTCACCGCCTGAATCGCAACGTATTCTTCAGATGTCCTCTTGGAGTGCTTGTCTCTGGATATCCACACCGCCCATCCCGGAGCCATCAGGGCCGAGTCCATGTTGTTTTTGAAATGACAAAGGCTTGCAAGAGAATCCCTGTCTCATTTCTGAATTTCTGTTTGTACACGTCGAATGCCACATCGATGGCCGAAGGCAGTTCAGTCGCGCTGTGCACAACAGGATTTGCCTGACTAAATGCCTCTGTGTGGTCGTCTGTGCAGCGAAGATCAAAAAGCAGAACTCCGAGGCTCCAAACGTCCTGCTTGTCCCCGGATTCGGGGCCCCGGCCCCGGTATAGGTGTTCCTATACCTTCTTGGTCAGCAGCTGTCCAGCCGAGACAAACTGCGCGCACTCAAAGTCCCCCCGCTTCAGAGACCCGGCCCAATCCGCTGCGATGCTGGCGAGTGCGATCCGTCCCTCTATGAACATGAGGGGGTAGAAGCTGCTGCGGTTAGCCACAGAAGCAAAATCAACTTCGACAAATGTCCAATTGCACCCCCTGGCTGCCGTGTGATTAGATGTTGAGAAGGGTCTCCCGGTTGCTCTTTGACGTCATTGTGTCATGTTAAGAGACGTCTCCACAGCTTACCAGAATGTTGTGCGAGCTGGGACGCTCGGTCTGTTGTCACGCCCAAAGATCCGAACACTATCACATGAATATCACGAGGACGTCAGTCCCTTCTAGCTACCGTAGTGGGACCCACCATGCCACAGTTGCTGCGAGCACCATGGGGCTTGCTCAGAAACATTACTGATTACTGAAACGATACACGAAAGCGAGATACATGCTGCAAGTAGTAGACCGACAGGGGTTCGAACCTCGTCTTCACAGCAGTTGCAAGACATCTCATGCACACAATTACTCATCTGTGTGCTTACCGCTTAGTGGACCCGCAATGACAGTCAGCAACGAGGGCTGCAATGCGATTTCTGCATCTGCTCCAACTGCGATAATCATAAGACCTCCTCAACAAAATATCTGCTTCAATCTGCAATGGTATGAATTGGCCCACAACAAAGTAACCAAACAGCTGCTCGGCTGTTCACCTAGATGGGATGAGTCGAATTTCCAGCACCCGATCTGCAGCCTCGGTGAGGGCTCCCCCGTCGCTGTAGCCCACCTGGCTTGGCTACTGGGCTTCTGTCGAACTCGATTCGTGCGGCGCAAAAACACAGTGCCTGTCCCGCTCAACGGGCATTTTCTCTCTCTGTGCTCCGCTCTGGCGGCACTGCGCACGGCAGGACGCTGCGGAAAGATATCGCAAGAGACCTGACCAAGCTTCCACGGCGAACTCATTGCTCCTTGGAAATCCTTAGAGAAGAGCCCATACAGAGAACATCTGCCTCGCGCACAGCAGCCGATCTTGCAAACCTTCCATACGTAACATGACTGTCTTTCTGTACGCCGAGGAGCCCAGGCCCAATAGCCTGCATGGCCTGGTGCCAACCACGGATCAGGCCGGCCCAATAGCCGCTAGTGAGCCGCTGTAGCACCCTGCCAATAACACCACACAAGTCACATAAGCACATACTGTCTCGCTCGAGGGCATTATTACTTCTATGTCTAGTGTCACGTCAGTTTAACTATTCCTGCCTATTTTCTCCGGAAGGAGGCTTTAATGCTACATAGCCTGGCGGCCTGTATGCTAACAGCTACAGTGCTAGCTTTGAACGCAGGGATGCAACTCCACGAAATGATTTTTCCTGTCCGCTGGACTGCTCAAGAGCGGCCATCTGATAGAAACTTGTACGTGGGAGTGAATCTTCAAAACGTTTGATGACCGCTCTGCGCTTCAGGTTCGTCATCAGTGTTGTTTCCAAACCCAGCCACTGCCGCACACCATCCAGCAAGCCCTCTTCGACATGTGTTGCCTGTGACTGTGGAGCGCTCCACAGATTCTCAATGAGCTGCAACAACATACGGGCTAGCGCAAATCTTCTTCCCGAATACGCCACCCAGTGTGCGCCCCACGCCTGACGCAACCGTTCTCCTACTCCCTGTCGTCCATGTCGCTGAAGTAAGGGTATGCCAGTATCTGAAGCGCGGAAGCCCGCTTCCGCGGATCGAATCTGAGCATAGACCCAAGGACAGCTACAGCTGTCGGTGCTGCCTGGGGAAAACAAGCCTGCAAGCTGCGACCTCGATGGATTTGCTGCAACTTGCGCAAAAACTGTTGCTGCTTCTCGCCGAGCCCGGACAAAATCTCTGGCAGCACAACCTCCGCGATCTTGTACAACTGATCGAGGGTAGTGTCTCCTTGGAAAAGGACTTTCCTTGCAATCATCTCGCCAAAAATGCAGCCAGCTGACCAAACGTCGATCATTTCATCGTAATTTGAAGGGCGCAGCACAACTTCTGGGGCTCTGTACCATTTGTGCACTACATAATCAGTCAATTCAGGATTCGCAGGAAATTCCGCGCCGCAAGCTACGGAGCGTGCCAGTCCGAAGTCGCAGATTCTCAACATCCCGTCCTTGTTGACTAACAAGTTGTCTGGCTTCAGATCCCGATGGATCACAGATCGGGCGTGTAGATACACGAGCCCGCGAAGGAGTTGGTGCAGCAAGTGGCGCTGGTGAGCTCCAGTGAGGCTTCCCATGACACGATTCAAACTTGTGTCCATGAGTGGTGTCACCAAGTAAATGTCACCCTCGGCTTGGTACACATCAAGAAGCTGTAGAATGTTGTCGTGGCAGCATTGGTGTAAAAGCTCAATCTCGCGATGAATCCGCTTGCGTTCCTCCATGTTGGCGAATGCATGTCTTACCTTCTTAACTGCAAACTGCACTCCCTGGAGTGTAAAGGATGCGACGGCCCCAGAAGCACCTTGACCAACATGCGCCACAAATTGAAAGTCGCCGGGCACTCGGAAAGAGAGCTTCTCGTCGATCGCAATGTGCTTGCTCAGGTGCGGAAGCAACTCTGCCGGTGCCAATGCTAGTGGTGTTTCACTAGTTGAGCGGCGGCGGCGCTCCAGGAGAGTTGGCCGATGAACGCTTTTAGGCTTCGTGACGACCATGTGGGCTTTCGGCTTCTTGCTCTTTGAAGTCTTTTTCAGCCGCTTGCGCTGGAAGCTGACGCTTGCCGTTTCCGTGGAAAAGAAACCAGAAGACCTGGCTGCAACAGCTTGCACTGATGCTATGCGTTAGATTGCGCCAGAGCCGCTAGGCTAGGAGATACGGAGGCCTATGCAAGTCAAGCCACGAAAACGCCTCCCGAGCAACGAATGCGACACCAGCAACCTGCGCGCGAGCTTCACTGGACTCGCGTTGCAATTGGCACTTCACTGCTGGCTGGCTGCTTGGATGCTGAGCTTGGTGCTGCTGCTACACCAACACCGCCCAAGCCAAGGACGGGCAAGGCGGCCAGCAGCGTAGCTGTGATGCCTGCAGCGCTGACCATGGCCCCGTCCTCTAGCAACCTAGCATGTGCTTGGCTCCCTTGGCGCGCCTGTGCTTGCCACAGCTCCGCCAACTGCAGCGCCCGCCGTAGCTGCTCCAGCTGATGCGCTTGCCGCTCCACCGGCTACGGCTACGCCGGTGCCCAAGGCAGTTGCCCATGATGTCCCAAGACTTCCTGCGAACATCTGCGTACACACTTAGAGCAAATCTACCACTGTCACTGCGCTGCACCTTCGCTTAGATGAGCCGCTTAGAACGCTTAAATCGCACCCTTGTCCTTGTAAAGCTGCAACACCAAACGTGACTCCGAGCTCCATCAGGCAAGCGAGGAAGCGGTTACAGAAAATTCATGGTCATGCTACAACAGAAAAAATGCATGCCATAGATGTTGTGTAGCTGGCATGGGCCACCAGATACGCACGGCTTTTGCAATAACATGCACTTGAACAACAGAACTGCGTCAACTGACATTGCCTTTTGGGTCTGGCGAACCCCTCACCTCTGAATACTCGCTGCGAAGTGAAAACCACGTCTTCTGAAGTCATGTTGCTCGTAAAAAAAGCAACACCTGCATGAGAGAGTCACTTTCACGACGAAAGGGAATTTGCAGACGTGCGCATTCACAGAACTTCCTTTTCAAGAGCCGCCTTGCCCCCACCTTACCCCGCCTTTACTTCCATGCTGCGGCCAAGAGTGTAATGCATGTTGGAAACAAGAAATCAAGACCTCTGTAGAGCAGTTGATGAACACGGATGGTGCGCGCAGGTACCTTTGCATGACAACTTTTGTTGCCCGATGGCATTCTTAGCCGGCATGCCATTCATGCCAGCGCACCATCAGTCCTAGGGTGTGTTGCGGCAGCCTTGGAAATCTGCTGTCTCCGCGTCTCTGCTGTCTGTCTCTGTCGCTGTCTCTGTATCTGTCTCTGTCTGTCTCCATCGGGCTCTGTCTGGCTATCTCTCTGTATACCTATCTCTATCACAGGACAAAGAACGTCCCAACAAGCATCTCACAGCGCCACAATTATGTTATGATATGTAATTGCAATGCCTGATCTCCCGACGTGCCGCAAGAAAACTGTTATGTAGTGGCGTCTATCCAGATGGCGGAAAGGACGTGCGGCAACACACGCAGTTGGTAAGTACAAACAACACTCTGCTGCTTTGTTGCATCCTAAGCAGCATAGGTGCTGCAAACCCCACCCATGATTGTCTTGTATGAGCAGCGGTCAACAATTCTTATCCATGTCAAATTCCAAAATATCATATTCGTTTTGGAATTTCGTTCCGTTTCGTTCTACACATTCCGGTGGGCTCACCCAAGCGTCATGCTTCTTCTGATTCTGGCTTCATGCTGAAAGAAGGAAAGCACTCTGTTTGAAGTCAGATAGGCCTTGAATAGTATTTATTGCGGAGACACTGCGCTATGGTGACAGGTTTGCATGGTGAGAGCTTTTTGCATAGGCCTCGAACAGTAAGGATTTGAGAGTACACCCTCACGTTGGGCATAAATCGGTCAATTTACTAAGTCGTGTTTCTATTTCCCAAAACTTCTCAAAACGGTCCTGGGGCGCACTCGGGAGTCAACTACGCAGGACACGCTAGAAGGATGGCAAAGTCACTGAAAGATGCTTTTGCAAAACTTGTTTTAGCACAAGGGCCGAGTAAGCGCCTCTGAGAGAACGGCCGAGCCCCCCATTTCTGCGAGATGTGCTTCTTCCAGGACCATGCATTCAAAGGCACCTTACTGGCAACAACATTTGAGCTCCAATAGAGGCATCTTAAACAGGTCAATGTGGCATTGCATTCGAAGTCACATCCCACCAGGACTGAACGATCACGACCGGAAACCTAGCAGTTTCTGGCCGGTTGGTTGAGTCTTAAAGAACAAGCAGAGGGCGAAGTTCTATCGCCGCTGCAAGGCACGGTTCCGCTTTGCCATCGCTTTGTTTGGCCACAAAACTGTGACCAACGAGCTGTCGCCACCCATATTCACTTTAACCGCGAGGCGTGGGCAAAGTCCAAACACTGCAGCTGACTGCTGCAAACATGCTCTACACATGAACTCTTCGGGAACTGCATGCATTCCTTGGTGTGTTCCCTCCACGACCAGCAGGCAGTCCAAGCGGCTCTGCATACAATCCATCCAAGCTTGACGCAATGACCACTGGCACACTTCCCATCACCAGCGCCTTCCATGGTGCACAAGGCACCGGAAAACTGATGCGGCACGCAGTGGAAGTCAATAATTACTATAGTCCCTCGCAAGGAGCGTAGGAGGCTTAGTAAATGTGGACGTGGACAGATGGTGGTGTAGTTCCGGATGTTTCATATTATCACAACTAGGAAAGAATGGTCAAGCGTCAAAGTTCGTACGACGGGGGTGTATCGAGTCGGCAAACGAAAGGCATGCTCTGGCCATGCGACGGAGCAGAGGTTGTCGTTCTGTCTGACTCTGCGCGGTTCCCATAGTCCTAGCACGATTGATTGCTTAGAACAGCGCTGAAGACCACTTGAGGTGGAGCTTAATTCTGGCCTCAGCTTCTGAACATTCACAACAACCGCAGCAGCAACAGAGGCAAGAGACAGTTCGCGGCGACGACTACCTATTGACATGATACTTTGCTCGGCAAAGGGGCTTCTAGAGAGAGGATCCCATACATGATTTTATAAGATAATTATGCTGTAACACGATGGTGTTGGCTCCTTTGTTCCAATTTAGGTGCGGCTTTCCAACTTCCACATACAAGCTGCGCTCACGACTTGGCTGTCATCTCAAAAATGATCTCGACAGCAGCGCAAATTGACTAGAATCGTGCGAGCGATGGGCATGCATGAAACGACTCGACCTCCAACCCGAAATCAGCCAAATCACCTCACACGAGGAATACTTATCCGCCTCCCACACTCGGTGCGAGTCCAAGCCGTGGCCCAGGGGAGCCGCGACGAAGGCATGCCGCCCCAGTGCGCGGAGGTAGTTGGCCCAAGGCACCTGATTGCCAGTGACAATGTTGCGATGTTATGACCAGCAAGGCAGAAAGGAAAGGACTGAGGACCTGGGTCCAGTTGCCCTTCAGCGTCTCACAGGCGCAGCGCCGGTCGACGCAGCTCCGACCGTTCCTTGGGCAGTGGGTCAGTCTGCCGATTGCTTTCCTTTGACGTAAGCATTTGAGATGGTGCTCTGCCAAGGCTCTGGAGAGGCGGCTGCCACCAGAACACTGCCGTGCAGTCCTCAGAAGGCGCGAGTTTTGGCAGTTGGGGCGGGGCCGACGGTTGCGGCAGCGACGTGAGATGCAGAGAGCGCAATGCAATGGGTAGCTTCGCAACGTGACCAAAGCCGTGCGAACAGACCCATCGACATGTTACAGGCCAAGCTTCCACCGGCAGCAGCACATGCGCTGACCTCTCAGCAAACGGCAATGCTTCCTGCGGGGCCGCAGAGCCGCATGCGAAGGGACCGTGGCCTCCTAGCCCCCCAAAGGAGTCTGCGGACCTCTCGTGCCAGATCAAGCTGCCGTTGCTGCTCCCCTACGCTCAGCCGCAGAGCCTCCGTCCGGAGGATGGGAGGTCCCGGTGACTCGAGGCAGGAAGATGCCATGAGCGGGGCCTTCTCTGAGGCAGTGTGGAAATCCAGACCCAAGGGCAAGGGCGCCAGCTTCAGCAGCGCATCTCCTAAAACTGCCATGCAGGGACATCAGACAAGTTCAAGGCAAGGCAATAAAGCTGAGGGCCCAGGGCCTGCCAGGCAGTCGGAGGCATCGTAGTTCCTCAGTAAAGCGACGGACGTGTTTGCTGAGAGCCGTGGGCCCCTGTACGGAGGCGCCGACTGTGCAAACCACCGGAGGAGCCGCGGGTCTTCGAGGAGCTTCGACAAGTTCTTCCACTGCAAAGCCCAAATCCGGGCCTCTCCGAGCGAAAGGGACGAAAGCGACAGCGCGCCTTCTTTGTGCTTGTTAACTGTGCTTTGCGGATGCCTGGTGCGTCGGTGCGTCGGGATGCACCGCAAAGAACCTCTAGGGGGCCGCTTCAGAATGACAAGCCCCACTCTTGGTCCTTTGTCAGTCTGGTGGCTCTGGACGGCGCCTAACTCCGAAGAGCTCGCATGGCACTCCCACATCCTGCCGTGGACCGTGGAGGTGCTCGATCAGTCAGGAAAGGTGCCCGAGAAGCGAAGTGCACAGCTAGTGCCTCCTGTCCCGTGACCAAGGTGATGCGCGTTTCCGGGGAAGATGCCGCGAAGCCTTGCGAAAGGACTCAGAAGGTTTCAGACGGGTCGGCAAGAGGCGACAACACCATCTTTCTTTCTTAAGGATAGGGGTGCTTCCCAAAGAGGGCCTTCTGGCACTTACCGGGAGCATTGGGAAACATACGAAATCATTCCAAATCATTCAATAGCCAGCCAGCAACAATAAACATGCATGAAATACGAAAAATACATAATCATTCGGAAACATTCAGAAAAATTCATGATAATACACAAAAGATCAGAAATATTCAAAAAACATCAAGAAAATACATAAAAAAATACAAAAATACGAATATCATCCCCCCCGTCATTCAAAAAATCACAAATCTGGTTTGAATTAAAACGAACTTTATCGTATGATTTCGAGAGTTTGTATATGTTTCTGTGTGTTTTGTATTTTATCGTATGGGTATTGAACTACCAGAAGTACCCTTTTCAGAAAGCCCCTTAACCCTATAAATGAATTTTCCTCGAACGAGAGACGCGTGAGGAATTGGATCAAATCCATGGACGGCACGTACACGATGGGCGATGCATGGCGCGCAAGATCCAGCGACGACCAGTCGAAGACCGCAACTTCGAGACCTGCAAGAAATCAGAAAGGAGCTATCGCAAGTAAGCAAACATGGAACATCATCTTCCCCCTAAAATCTTGGAATGGCCAGAACCAGAAATTCTTGCCTCTGTCGTTGCTTCGGAAGGTCGATGGGAAGAGGTCGCAGCAGCTACGGGCGAGACCGCGGGACCACAGAGTGGCTGTAAACTCCCCGAACTCGGCTTCCTCCGGTGAGGCCTGCTGTTTTGTGGAGCACTTCCAAGTAAAGGATCCGTGGACTCGCGCAGAGGCCAGAAGACTTGCATGGATCCGCAAAGACTTCTGGCAATATCTACTTATGAGCCGATGTCTCGTCTACCCATCTACCTCCATCTAGCTCTGTTTAATCCTCTTCCAACTCTATCTGCCTCTGTCTGCCTATCTCCAGTCTCTCTGTCTATCTGCGAGATCAGAGAACATCTGTGGATGCATGCATGTACCTTCATGTAGCGGTATAGGAGTACAGGTATAGATAGGCAGATGTTTGTACTCCACATGTGTGCGCGTACGTGGTTGGTCGGTCGCTCGGTCTGTGCACGGTCGGTCAGAATCTGTTCGACTATGGACTGGAATTTTGTGTGGCCGCTGCTTTCCATGGACTGCTGGAGAACCATCAAACGTGCCCAAACACCTATACAGAAAAGGCCCTTCCCCATCCCGGCCAAGGCGTTGCGCACATCTGCAGTCCAGATGGTGCAGGTAAGAAGCAGCGCCACCGCCGATCTTCCCATCCACCGCTTCCATGGCGTCTGATTCTCCAATCTACTCCAATCCTGCTTGAATAATTAAGCTGCCTCTGCTTATCGGAAGCTCGTTTCATGAGCTTCCTGCTAGCCTGCTAGCATTGAGCCGCGCGCGAACAGAACGCTTTGCTCAGAGCTTGCAAAGAAAACACCGCCAGGGCCGCGTAGCCGGGAGGTGCGCCGATCAGTTTGGACACCTCCGCAGCTAGGCAGAGAAGGCGGAACCGCAGCGTTGAGAGCCGAGGAATCCCTGGGCTCCCCTGCGGTGTGCTTCTCCATGAACCTCAGCGGGGCGCCGCACCCTTTGTTTGATTTTGTCGAAGCCGAATCGTCCCAGCCATTGACGTCAAAAGTTGACCCGTTTGGAGTACAGAAGGGTCCCGTGATTCTAGTTCTAATTCCGTTTACTTCCATTTATGGCACGTTCAGCAGCCGTGACGCTCGCTCATGTCCAGGCGGATCATGGTCTCCTCAGGCTGCAAGCTGTGCAAAGCTGCAATGTCAAGCTGCATAGTTTGCAGCACTTCTCACTGCGACATTCTGTCGCCTCCGAGCCAAAGAAGGTCGAGGCCAGGGTCTTGCAGAGGGCAGTCTTGCCCACGCCCGTGGGCCCGCAGAAGCAAAACCTCAGCACTCCCAAGGCTGAGAACGCAGAGGGCAGCCTCTCAAGAAAACGGAGACCTCCTAGATCTATCAGCATGGTAGCAGTGGTAGCACCAACTCCAACTGAGAAAGCTACAGACTCAGACAGACCGAGAGCTCCAGAGGCTCGAGCCCGGCCATGGGCCTCTGCGGGTTCCGCAGCCCGGCGCGCGCCCTCCGCAGGGCCCGGGAGACGCTGCGGACGGCCTCCGGAAGGCGTACGGCGTATGTGTGAGACTTTGGAAGGCTTAAGTGGCAAGTGCAGTATCCTGCGTTGGACGGGGTGGGCGCTGGCGGACACGAATAGATAATATCACATCCGAGATCCGGAAAGAAAATGCAGGTTTGGGCATATTCAACCGGCTTTGCTTGGACCTGACTTCTGGAAAACGTAGCGACATGTAGTGTTGAATGCCGGTGAAGGCTACCAAGAGGTCAGTTGGCAGCGCTGTGCCTTTTCCTGAGCGTCTTGCTGTTGGGTTTTTCCCCTTCCTTCTCGGTTCTCGTTTGCGGAGAACAGACAGGCAGGCTTGACTCTGAATGGTCTCCGACCAGCCTCGTCCTGTCCGATGATGGTCTCGTGGAGTTCCTCTATTGATTGTCACGAGATGAACTTCGATTTTTCACTTGACAAGCTTCTGCTTCCATGAATGCGGAGTCTTGCATTTTCAGTATGCACAGAGCTGACACATCGTCTAGTCTGGCTCTCAGCTGGCCAACATTTGCCTTCTCCAAATGGAGGAGTCGGGAGGACTCGCTGGCACTCACCTGTACCAGCTTCGGCTGTACCCCGGACGACATGCGGCTCGTCCAGCGCCACGTTGGCACCTGTTCCACTGCAATGCCGGTCCAGCTGGATACCACCTGGCCAAACACGCGGCAACCGGCTCCTAGTACTACGACTACAGACTCGCGCTTCGGTGGAATTGCCTGTGCCACGTCCTCGGCTGTCACCTGCCGAACGAGGGTGGCCTGCGGCAGAGCTCAATGGCTTCAGCAGGCGAGCTGAGTCACAGGCTGCACCTCGCTTGGGACGCCGCTCTGCTGCAAAAGCTCGGCCACCTCTGAGCGATCAGGCGAAAGGGTCGGGTCTCCCCAGCAAGCTCAGCCTCAGCTCCCCGCCGCGCCTGCTTCTCCCGTGCCTTCAGCTCCTGAGCCTCGACGAAGCGCTCGGCCGTCACAGCCTTCGAAAGGAGCGGAGAAGCCGGAAGCGGCCTTGGAGCCTCTGAGGTTCTTGTTTTGGCTTCGAAGTTCTTCAGTGCTCCACTTCGAAGTCAGCGATGCCTCGCGGATCTTCGCTCCAAGGCTTTGGAGTTCCTGGAGAGTTGCAGCTCCCCGGAGACAGCGATGTCCCCGCCCTCGTGTGCCCCCGCATACCGGTATGTCGTGATACGTCGTGGCTGCGCTGGGGCGCTCTCCTTCACGAGGCCCTGAGGGTCTGCACTTTCCGCCGAAGCTTGCAGCCTCAGGAAGTCTCGTTGCACAAGGTGCCCTCTCCTCTGTTCGTCAGATCTCTCTTGAAGCTTCATTTCCTCTACCGACACAAACTTTTGAGGCCTTGCAAGACGCTCGGCCAACTCCTTCTCCTTGCGCTTCAGCTCCGCAGCCTGAGCTCAGAGCTCAGTTCGTGAGGTCATTCCTACATATGTATACAACAGTATAATGTAATACAGGATAATCTACAATCATATCGTGCGACTCATCTAAATTTGTGCATATACATTCCAATGAATATACATAGTATGCTATGTATATATGCACATAGATATGTATATCGGCAGATATCACAAATCACTATAGAAGATCATGAATATGTGCCAGAAAAACACTATGTATCAAAAATTAAAGTCGTGAGTATATAAGACACATATAGGATCATCCTCAGTCCCATTTTCTTCCTGCCCGCCTCCTCGAAGCGTTCCTCGCGGGCTGCCCGGGCCTTTTGGGCCGTGACCTGCAGAGGCTCTCAGCTGTGAACCCGAGGAGCCCGAAAGGGCACTGGGACTGGGCCTCCTCCAGCTCCCGTCCTGCAGGGGCTATATATATATATATATATATATATATGGCTATATCATATCTATAACTCTTATAGGTATTTTGCTGTGACTCGGCTCCTGCGGCCCACTGCTCTGCTGCATTCTGCGTCTCCTACGGGTGTCGATTTCGGACCGAATTCGAAGCTCCTCTTGGAAGCGAGTCATGCCTCCACTGCTTGGAAGAGCTGCTGGCGGACCTGCAACACTTCTCCAAGTGCGCAGCGGCCCCGTCCACACCTTCGCGGTCACACCTTGGAGCCGGCTTCGTCCATGACGTCAATGGCCTCAGAGCGCGCATTCGCTTCCCTCCCTTGCTCGGAAGTTGGGCAGTTGGGCCTTGTCTGGAAGGTAGCGGTCCGCAATGAACTGGCAGGAGAGCTTCACAGAAGCTTCCAAGGCCTGGCTCGGGATGCTCCAAGCGCTCTCATCTCTCTCATCTCTCACCTTCTCGTCTCTTCTCTTCTGGGCCTCGCTGGTGTAGCTGAGCTGATGGTGCTTCTCGTACCTCCCCATAAAAGGGAAGGCCCCCCCTGGAGAGAGCAAGGAAGGCCGTGGCGGCCGTGGACCGGTCTGCTCACTTCGGGGCCAGGCCCTTGAGGATCTGCACCTCGGAGCCGATCTTTGAAAACGAGGCTCTTTATTTAAGGGTTATATTTCTGCTGTGCTTTTAAGCAGCCACGCGACCACTATGGGGTTTGGCACCATCTCAATGAGATGGTTGTTGACGTTCTACTCACCAAGAGCTGCAGTTGCAGCAAACAGATCGGGTGGCAACGAAAATGGCCTTGTCACTTGCGGCACTAAGAGGTTGAGTTTTGAAACTTCCTCCACCCGGGATTCCAGTAGTACCACTTGCTGAATCTCACCGGCTTCAAGCCAAGTTCATGGCAATTTTCCTAGCCTACAGAGATCCTACGTCCTACAACGAGGCTGTATCGACCTGTTCCGCACACATCAATGCACAAACAAATAAACATCAGTCAACCAATCCCACGAGGCTCGGGCCGACTCCTCTTCCGTGGGTTCTGGTACGCTGACCTGACGTTCCAGATCAGTGGTTTGGCCGAGGCCGTCACATCACGTTGCCTGACTTGTACGTCGGGTAGGCACATCGACGGATCAGGGCCCGCGTGTGCACTTCCTAGGTCCCTGCAGCATGCTCTGAGTGCTGAACGGGCTGGAAACGCCTCTCCAATGCTGGATCTCGCTCGATGTACTTGCGATACCTCAAGAGAATCTCGAAGAACCTAATTGAGGCACCCATCCTGAGTGCCTGTTGTAGACTGTGCGTTTGCGGAGCTCGCATGATAAGTTGGAGATCCCCGTCTGTAAAAGCAAGCACCGGGCTCGTCTAGCGTAGTGGCTCCGATGCACTGCAGCCTCAGAAGACTGGGATTAAGAGCCACAGCAAATTTGCTTGAACTCTGCTACACAATACTCCTACCACACTGCACACTATTTCGTAGTACATGCTCCCTCTTTTTTTCTCGCTACCAGGATCTACCAGGCATGCAGGAAGGCGCGGTCCAGCATCCCGCTCTTTCGGTCTCTCTCTTCCTTGCACACAGCCAAGGAAGGGACAGCATCCTTCCCCGGTCCGAAAGAGGCGCTGGCATGATGCGTTGCATCCCCCTTAACCTGAACTGAATGGCTAAAAAAAACCCGCCTCGCGCCTCTTCCAACGGGTACCGGCCGGATCCGTGCTTCGGTCTCTCTCTCTCTCTCTCTCTTCTCCCGGGCCGGGGCGAAGTTAAGCCCGCCGGGCATCTCTCTGTCTCTCGCATTCTTTCTCTTTGCAGGGCCAAGAGGGGGTTTTCCCCGCTTCCGCTGCTACGGGTCAGGGGTCTAACAGAACAACGCTAAAACAAGACATCAACAAGCGATGATGATAATGAATCCCAAGCGCAGCTGCCACCCGGAATACAGGATGAGTCGGCGCAATTTTCCCAGCTTAGTCAGCTCTTGGTCGGTCACAAGAAAAGCTTACACGCAAACACACACGATCTTCTGTCCATGTAGAGCATCAACAAGCCAGTGAAGATCGATTGACTACGTCACTGTTATTTGCAATGTATAAATCTCTCCTTGCAGTGCCACGAGGTGTGTACTACACACGAACATCCTACAACCGTTGCAGCAGGAAGCGGAGAGATTGCTCTGCCGATCGTGAAACTTTTGCGGCGCGAACTTCTACACATTTGCGGCACCCCTCTATGCTCCATCTTGGCCGGATCCCAGCTTCTTCCTGTATCACTTGGTTTCGCACTCGCCGCGGGCCAAAGCGGGCTTCAAGAGGTTGGCCTTGGGACAACAAAAGACTCTAAGGAAGCCTAGGGCCCAGGGGTACGGGTGCGGGTAGGGGTCGGGGTTGCGAGCGCATTGCTCACAAGTATTTTTCAGGGAAGGAGCTACTGTACACGTACCCAAGCTTTAGGCCCAAAGGCTCCAAGCATTCCCACAACGATCATTGGCTGCCGGCCGCGTCCATTCCACCTCCGGTGTCGCCTCCACCACTGCCTGCGCCCACCAGGGTGTGAACCTGTTGCCGTCGGCATGGGGACACTGGGACTTCTACTGTAGCTTCCCGTCCCCGTCTTGCACCGGTTGCCGACTCAAAGGCTTCCCTCGATAGGCCTCGTCAACCACGAGAATGACTCGGCGCTTGCTGTCCGTGACTTCCTTCACCACGGCACGCAACCGCTCCTGACGCCACGGCCGCGGGGATACTATCCTCTCAAGATGCCCTGGGCCGAAACGGCGGCCTTGCCTCGAAGTCACCTCGATAGCGAGTGCCGGCCAACAGCAGCGCCAAATCGAGCTGGACAACCTTGGAAAGGGAGTCATCAAAATACTTCAAATCTCTGCTTGTGGGCCGCGCGGCCACACTACTCGGAAGCTGAGCTGCGAACGCGCTTGTCCTGGAAGCATGACTTGAACTTCTAAACTATAAACGATGCTTTCAATCATATATTAATATTAGAGTGCTAATCTGCTAAAATCGCCATCATGTTAAATAGCCGTCGCCGCGCTGCTGCCGACTACGTGGAACGAAGAACTCTCCTCTCTACTGCCTCGGATGTGTTGTCTGCATCATGTCTGGGACTCGGTTTCGTGCCAGTGTAAGATTAACGAGTACATTACAACAGCCGCTTCGCACAGGCTTCATACCTAAAACAGTCAAGGACGTGCACGAATCAACAACACTCAGATCGGGATCCGCCAGGCCGTATGCCGGCAGCTATCTATAAGAAATATAAAGCCGCCCGACGGCAATACGAGAAAACTCGGCAAGTAATGAAGACTATCCACCTAAAGCACTATGTCGGAGGTGGCTCGCCCGATGTCGCAATCCCTCAAAACACAATCCCTAAATTTTAACACCTAAAACCCGCGAACCAACTAAACCACTACCCCCAAACCTTCTGAAGCCCCGATACCCATAGAACCAAAAGTGCTCAATGCCCCCCATCAAAATCCCCCGCAAACCTATGAACCACATAAAACCAGACACGCACACGTATACCCAGCCACCCACCCGCGCATGCGCACACACACACACACACACAACCCTGCCCCCGCAGTGGAAGCCAAAGCCACTCTACCCGCTCCCGTCAGTCCTTGAGGTTCAGAGGGACCTTGCCCTCTGCAATGAGCTGAGCCAGCCCAAGAGCGATGGACGTCTTCCCAACGCCAGCCTATGGCTGAAGGCTTTGTTTAGGGCCATATGTTCAAGGCTCTAGCTCTGGGGCTTCAGGACTTGAGGATCCTTCGGGTTGGTTATATGCTTTATTTATATAGGATTTGCACTATAGGGCTATGGGGGGTTCATTCGATTCGGGCTCAGGGTTGGCACAAAGCCCAAAAGCAGAGATCAACCCCAAAAGAGCCTACCGCTATCGTTGATGACGGAAAGTCATACCCATATCGCAAGCACCTACACATGTAGAGAGCGAGAGCGAGAGAGCGAGAGAGATAGAGAGACAGATAGATAGATAGATAGATAGATATAGATAGATTTATATTTATATATACACAGAATGTAACAGTATACAATATAAATAATAAGATAATAAAAAAATTAAATAAAATATACTATACTATAATATTAGAATATATGTATATACATATATATATATATATATATATATATATATACACATACATATATATGTATATACATACATACATACACACGGAGAGACAGGCAGGCGGCCAGCCAGCCAGGGAGGGAGGGGAGGGAGGGAGACAGTGAGAAACAAAGGGAGAGAGAGAAAGAGAGAGACATCCGGGCCTCACCCACCAGCACGGGGTTGTTTTTGGTGCGGCGACCAAGGATGCGGATTGTTCGACGCAGCTCCTCGTGACGACCTCGGCAACTCGCATCGAAGGCTAGCACGAACACATAACACATGTCCCGGATAGTTCCTCAAGGCTTCAAGCGCGGCTGGAATGGTTGCTGGTCCAGGAGCATCAATACCGTGGGCGGTAGGCATACGACAAATGTCGAGTACGACTTAGCAAACATCCTATTGCTGATTGCGGCTCTAGACGTTGTAAGGCTTCTCTGCACCAGTAGATGCAGCCAACAGGGCAGCAACCTCAACTTCACCGTTGAAGCTTTACAATCACAGTTTTCGCACGTCTCCACATTTGGTACCCTTTCTATGACATCAGTGTTGCCACAGCTTCGTCTCCTCCATACCGTGCACTTGAAAAATCAGACCAGGCCCCATCTGGGCCCTGACCAACCAGCGGGTCGAGACGCCCCTCGCGTGCGGCCTCTGTCAGGTCCGTCCCGAACTTGAGCCTTTGACGGAGCACGGAGCGCAAGGACCGAGGCTCTGAGCGCCTTGTGGCAGCCCCTCGAAGGCCGCTGCGTCTGAGTCAAGTCCAGCTCATCCTCGATGGCCGGACGCACAGAACCTGCCAAGACCTGCGGAAGCCCGGCGAGGCCGCTAGGCCGCTCTAGCGGAGCCTCGGAGCCCGGCCTTGTCTCCTGTGACCTCGCTGCTCTCCTGCTGTGCAAGGGCTGCCAGCACCCTCTCGCGGAGCACCTCCAAAGAAGTCGCAAGCAAAGGCTTTCGGCGGTGCCTGACTCGTCGACTCGCGCCTGCGGGCTGTCTGTGGCCAGCACCTTCGCGAGCCTATTGGGAGACTATCACCGTCGAAGCTTCCCAAGCTCTTCCAATCCACTTCTGAGCCGCTGACAGCTTGCAGCCGTTGCTCTCAACCTTCTTCCAAAACATGCACACAGAGAGTCCGCCCCCGGGTGTTCAAGGGGCCCCGGCCTGTCGTAGAAGCGCCCGCAGCAGATGGCAGGTGTTCACTTGCTGCATGTCTGGGCGCAGAGGGGTCACAGCTGCGAACGGGCGCTTTCCCAGTCACATTAGTGACAAAGACGGCGCCTCGCTCGCGGGCGCACTCCACGGAGTCCTGACACACACCTCTACACGACACATCTCTTACTCCGGGCTCCGGGATCGGCTCCTCCAGCACCTGTCGGGCCGAGGTGGTGAAAGGAATTTCCTTGGACTTGCCGCCTGACAGCTCGAAAGCACAGGAAGCCATGCCAGCCATGAAAGATGAAACCTCAGGCGCGCCTTGGCCATAGCCCACCATGCGCTCGAGCTCCCTCCTCGCCTACAGGCAAGGAAGGGGTGTTTGTCGTATTGAGTCTTGAGGCTCCTCATGAGAATCTGTTTTGGCAAGACCCGCACCTCCTCGATGCGGACGCCCAATGCCTGCAGGGCCTTGGCGCCCCCACTGCCCTCGGCCAGCAAGCCTACCACCATCATCTCGGTCCCCACGTGGTCCTTCAGAACTCCGCAGCCAGCATACGTACCCCAAAACTATTATAAGTCTTTGCTTAAGTTAATGCCAACTCCTCAGTAGAAACAGTGACCAAATGGTCTCCTGCTTGATGCGCTGCGCCTCAGTCTGCGCCAACACCACGGCCTGCAAACGAGCACCATCAACGAATATATACATATGTGTACATATATGTGACTTCACTGCCAGCTTTTCGTTGAGTTAAGCTTCACCAGGTAAGTAAAGGCTGAGGCCGAAGTCTGCACCATGGATTGCATCGCCTAGCCTTGATCGTCCTCTCCGAGAAGCGCTCGAACCTGCAGGCGCGCTTGAGTTTGGGACAGTTTTGAGGGCGCTCCATGCGGCATGTCGAAGCGAGGCGGCGCTGTTTTTGGAGAGAGAGCTTGGACCCTTAAGCTGCCGGCACCATGGCCGCACGTGCGGTGGAGTGTCGAAGCGGCCTCAACTCGTTGAACCTCAGTCAGAGAAACGGCTCCGTGTGCTCTCCCCCGAGGCCGCGCATCCGCCTGGAGGAGGTCGGAGAGGAAGCCACGTGCACAGCCACCTGCCCCCAAAACCCAAATCCCAGCCCTTCAGACGGAAAAGTAACAGGGCCTAAGCTCGCCTGAGCACCCGTGAGCTTCGACGACGACCTGGTGGGTCACGAGACGCACACGGTACGTCTCGCGCGTGCTGCGTGTACGTAGATGTACTCGCCCTGAGGCAGCAATGGCACTATGACGGTATACTCATAAGTAGACATCATGTTGCAAGTTATCGAGTCGGGGTCACCCCTCCCGCCATTTGACAGATACGGTCCAAGACACGATTTTGATCCGGATCATTTTGCTACTTAGGTGAGTTGGCAAACGAAGACTCCCGCAAGCTCCACAAAGCTAGCTTTCGTGATACGTCCGTGCGTGTGTGTGTGTGTGTATATATATATATATATATATTTTCTCTTTCGTGGCGTTGAGTCAAAGTTTGACGCAGCCGATGCTTGCACCTAATTAAAACTTGGGGATTGGCTGGAACAGAAATCTGGACTTGAAAGCATAAACCGTCGCCCAGTTTGCACTCAGCCGGTGGGCATGGCAGAAGGGATTTAACCGGCGCAACTGCGAAAAACCGTCCCTCAACAGCCTTAGCCCACCAAACGAAACCAAAATCACAACACTGACTAAGTCATTGCGGCAGTATGCACTCACCCCCACTATGCGAGCTGGTGCAGAAATCTGCCGGTTCAGCGGAACATATACAAGCAAACGTCGTCTGCAAAATCGCACCTGTGCCAGTCAGGCCCCCCATGAATGACCACGAAAGGGCATCTCTGTATGACATTACTATAGTACATAATGCAGCGGGCCATGTGTGTACTGTGGAGTACAACAGACGTAACCAACATGGCAACCAGATTAGGGACAACCATATTGATCGCGACCAGTTGAAGGCGGACCAATCCCGTAAGGATGACCGTTTCAGGGATGTAGTCCACAAGCGGATGCAGTGGTATGGCACCAGATTCGTACGGAACTCGATGATGCCAACTTTCATTCAACTCTCCGTCCAGCAGCATGCGCTCCAGCAGCGGATATCCAAAGCCAGGTCCGGAACCTCTAGCATGCCTCAAACTTGCTGTGCTGCAAGCGTTACCTACGCCGAGCGCTCCGTAGCTGTCGGCCAGCTGCCTGACGAGTCGACCAAAGACCGAAACAACGATCCTGCCCTCAATCGCATCCGGTCCTTGGGCCAAACAGTCAGTAGCAGCTTCCGTACTTGCAAAGAGCAGGTCTGACAAGAGAAGCAACCAGTAATTTCCTGTGCACCTGTGGTCCACGACCGCATGCGCGAGAACCACGCAAGACAGATCAAAGGCATCATCGCCACCACCGCTGGTCCTGTAAAGCAGCTGTCCGTCGGGCGGGATGCCATGCCCGATGCAGAAAAGCTCCCAGCAGGCATCACCAACCGAACTCCCGACACAACTTGCAGAACCAGACGCCGTCTCTGGCAGAGGCTCCCACACTCCACGCCACACAGCGGAGATGCCCACTGTGTCAGGCAAAACCATGCCCCTGCTAGCCATTGGCTCACCTGACTCAAGAAAGAAGGATTCCACAAAGTCAGGGCAAGTATGCTGGCGTGCATTCTGGCAAAGGCCACCAACAGCCTCCCCACCCGAAATGACGACCACACTGTCAATGCCATCTGGATCTACGCACGCAATGCATGTGTTCCCATCCGGGCAATCATGCCTCGCCGTCGTGGCATTCTCATCTCGGCAAAGCGTATTCCCACTCGGGCCATCGCAAAGCACATGATTGGCCGCAAGATCAGTTGAGCTAGTGTTGTCAAACCAAAGGATCCCTGCAGCGTCAAAGTCATTGCAACATGCAAACTCCGCGGGACCATCCTGCCACCGGTAACCCTTGACGTTGTAGTCTGCTGCCGGCTGCAAATCAACCCACGGGGCATCTTCCATAACACTCAGCGTTGTAGCACATGCACAGAAGTCCTTGTACCCTGGAAATGCAGTATGTCCCACCGTCACATCGCGGTAGCCAGGCCATGCACAACATCCACATGTCCGACATCTGGGCTGGAAACGGCGTGCTCCCTTCCCACCAGCCATGGGCCATATACCGAAGCACTGGGGTCTTGGGCAATACGGTGCGCTGTTGCACCGCTCGATCCCAGACCCTTATATATATATATATATATATATATATATATTTATTTATTCATTTATTTACATATATGTATATCTCTGGCATGAATGTATACCCACGCACACCTGTACATGTAGACTTACATTAACTGATGCGTGCTATCTGTGCGACCCCTGTTCTCATGTAAGCGCTGGGCATCGCCGACGTGCTGGCTTTGGAGTGCCTCGCGGCCCATCTCTGGCCTCAAAACTGCGTCGCAGCAAAGGCCCTCTGCACTCCCTTCTCGGCTCCGAGGTCGAGGCTCATCACCACCGAAAAGGAAGAGAACCTCGTGGTCGACTGTCTATGCTGAACCACGAGCCATCTCTTATAATGAACCCTGTCTGTTCCCCTGTAACTCCTATGAACCCTATCAGGGCCCTGTAAACACTGCAGTTTTAGCTTTAACCCTACCCTTTTGCCACGTCTAAGCTTGACAAATCTCGTCTTTGGGGCCCCTGCAAGAAAGCTGCCACTGCCATGGCTGGGCCCACGGAGGACTCTGAGACCATCCCCTCCATGCCCTGACAACGACGTAACGATCAAGATCTACACACACACACACACGCACACAAACAGATGCACCTAGGTGTATTAGTGTAGACATGTGTATCTATCTATATATATATGTATAGATGAGATATGTAAACTATATGTACCTACAGATATGTATCTGTACTTGTGTAAATACATGTTCTTCCTATTCTGTGATTATTCTTAATAACGAGTTTATTCTTATTATTGCTTTATATACTTGTATAGATATTGTGCACATGAAAGCTCGTACAGATATTCGGCTTCTGTCGTACTGCACCCGATTCAAGGGTTTTCAGTCGCTTCTGCTCTGCTGCGACTACGAGCTTGCAGGCGATCGCGTTGTGGAGTCATTGTAGAGTCAAGCCTTTAGTAGCCTCCGCGGCTGCAGTTCTTTTCTATCAAAACCATAATGCAATATGCAGTCTGCTAATTTAAACCTAGCAGACGTCGTATCTTGAGAGTCGGGGCGCACCTCCAGGGGGCCCATAGTGCCGGCATGGAACCTGGGCACGGATCGAAAGAGTTCCGTGTGCGACTCTGCTGTGCAGCATTGAACCGTCGCCGGCAGAAAAGCAGTGAGGCCGAAGCACTGTCCGAGGAACGCCTGGACTTCCCAGTCAGCTACGGCTTGTCACCTTTACGCAAACGCTAAGTCGAAACACAGCGCCTGAGAAGTTACTCCTGGCCACAGGGGTGCGCATCAAAAGACTACGAATGCCGTGCCGTACCCCACTCCAGAGTCCGTCCTGGCAGCTGAACAACCCAGCCGTGGTAAGGTCAAGAATGCCGCAGCAAAGGTTGACGTGGCTGCGACCTGCGCTGTGCAAAGGCAGAGGTTGGCCATCGGCTGTTTCCGCTGGCATGCAGTCACACTGGGTGCCCGGCCATGCAGAGAATTTTGTGGCGGGACATCATGTTGCTGAGAACAAGAATCTGCATGCAATGCTGCTTTCGTGCCCTCATCCCGCTGGCATCTCCAGATCATGCATGTTACATGCTGGCAGTGTCAAGACTTCGAGCCTGAAAGCGCTGGCAGAACTTCATGACATATTGCAGCCATTCACAGACCCCGAGCAGCTGTTCAACTTATTTTGACCATCATGGCAGAATGCTTCCAGCCTGCATGGGATTTTGCAGATGTTACAGTTACAGTCATGAGGCCTTACCTCAGAACTTGAAACTTCTGGCAACCTGTGTGTTGCTGTTCTTTGCACAAACTTTCTGCAAGAGCGACGCCCCCACCAGCTTATCAACAGTGCAAGAATCGGCTCTCTGCATGGACTCCGACCCAGACGACCAACACTGAACGAAAAGGTGCCCAAGTAGACTCAGACGCTTTCCACACAGCCCGGCCTCGCTGACTCCAAGCAAATCTAAAACAAGGACTGCAATGCTCTTCCTACTGGTAGAAGCTTTCAAGAATCCTGACGATTACATTGCAGCGGCACACTCTGCAAAACAAGCTGCACACTAACATCTCCGGGGTCCGGAGTCTACCGAAACTGAATCGAAAGACCAATTGCTCGGAGTCGGAGGCAATCACTCTAAGCACATTGCCCTATCGCTCGCGCGCCCTGAAGGCCGAGTTCTAGGGCAATCGGTGCCCAGGAATGTAAGCCCCTGAAACTGCATGTGAAGGGAAGGATCTCCATGACATACCCTGGAACCTTCTTTGCCAAAGTCAAACTGCAACAACCCCACACCCTCCAGCGCACTTGTGTCGTTTTCCTCGCATTTCTGTTGCACGGCAGGCAGGCCTTGTTCACCTGAAAACTACACTCGCTTGCCGCTTGCCCAGGGTGTTGAGGGCCCCGAGCCCATCGCAGCACAGCAACTTGCCCGGCAGAGAAGTCCAACCGTGAGGGCAACTGGTGTCGTCGCCCAATGCCGAACAACCGAAGGAGTATCCAGCAACAAAACGCGTCCGCCCGGGCCAAACCTACTCTCACCTGGGATCAGCATCACCAACAGCTGAACTGAAACAAAAAGGACACTTCCTCGCTTCAAATTGAAATGAAACTCTCTTTCTTTCCCTTGTTTCACAGTTAAAGGCATGAGTTACCTTTCCGCAAGGAAAGCATACTACAGAACACCATGGGGAAGATCATCCCCTGCGAAATCTAGTTGCTAATCCAGGCAGGACATCAACATCTCCCGGCCGAATGTCACGCCCGCCCGGGTCCGGGTGGTCGTAGAGCGCTGCAACGCCCGCGAGCCTGCAGGCGCCGAGGCGCGCGGGGCGCTGGGAGGGAGTGTTGAATTCTCAATTCAGCAACTTGAAACTGTCGCTGCAGCCAAGGCTGTCGCACGGTCATCCCAAGATCGCTGTGCCTCAACCAGTGGCAAAGCCGGACGAGCGGTGCTGACTGCACTGCTTCGGCCGTGCATTAAGCATCCCGGCATCCTGCTGTTGCTGACATTACAAGGAAGGGAAGACGAGCTGCACCGTCTCACAGAAGCTCTGCAGGTCCTGAATCCTGAACGGATGCACCAGTTTGAGAACACCTTCGCCGCCGGGCAGCCCTTGCGGACGTGACAGACTTCGCCTTGGACCCTGCAACGAGAGGCGTCGGCTCCACCACCTCCAGCCGCCAGGTGCAGCGACCCAGTGGAAGCTTCAGAAACGCATGCAGGCTCGGCACCCGACCATGCTCGAGTTGCGGCGAACTGTACCATCACCTCAATATGAAGTATCGCAAGCGATCGTGTCTTAACTTAGACTCCACCGGTATCCAGAACCACAGGCAGACTTGAGGCGGGCGTCCTGAGTGGACGTCACATGGCCGGACATGGTGAGGCCTTGTGCAGTTGCTCGTGCTTGCAATAGATTCAATAGGGCTTCTGCCCTCTTTTCTGGCCTCCTCGTGCCCTTGATCCCCGTCGAAGCCTGCGGGTCTGATAGAAAAGCAGGATATCATTTCTAGGACTGTCGTAGATGATCAAGAGAGGCAGCTTCCTTTTGGCCCTGCGGCGCCTCCCGTGAGACGCTGGTTTTGCCGCTGGCTCTCCGAGACGTCCACATCGCTCAAGGCGAACTCCTCGAGCTCCTGCAGAGTAGCCCAGACAGGTCCCCGGGCCCCAAGCAGCAATCTGTGCTAGCCATGTGGCCACATGTCAAGATCTTCGCCGCCGCTGCGCCATGTCCTCCGCATCGTCCTCCGAGGTCCAGGTGTCTAAACCAGGCGACGGCAGCGCCTCGCGTGAGACTCAGGCAGCGAAGCGCCCCCAACCCCAAGAAAGGTGGCCCCTTTTGGGGCTCCTGCGCTCGCACCGTCTACCCTTTGTCCATGTGTCGCCGCGCCGCGCGAGTCAGAGCGATTGGCCCTCTGGGCGGGCTCTGTGGAGCACTGCGGAGAGTGGAGTCGTCACGGGAACACTCCCTAAGAAAGGCTGACTTTGTCAGCCTCTATGACTCCCGGTCAGGTCTGCTTCTGCCCTACATCTTTCAACTCATGAGAGGCAGTGGCACTCGAGGGCAGACCAGACTCAGACTCAGCGCAAGCAGCCAGAAGAGTCACAAGTGAGTCTGTGTGGTGCTTTGGATGGCCACTACTCTGCCATCTACATCTTGCTACCTCATAAACGTTTATGATATATATATATATATGGACCGAATGCCAACTACAAGCATCAACTACGAAACGTGTTTCGGAGGGGAAGCCGAAGCCGCTCAGCTCAGCCATGGATGGCGATTCCTAAGCCGCGAGCCACAACCGTCGATTGGAACACGCCCGAACACCGAGGAGGTTTGAAGTCGGGTCTTCAGCTGAGGGACTTGTGCGAGTGGGCTGGACATGCGAGGTGTCCCCGACTTGGCCCATGCCCTCGAGCGTTGAGCTGGCTAGTGCCTAGAGTCGCTATAGAGCTCGGAGTCTCTCTAACCGTCGCCTTGCTGGGCATGTTGAGCACATAGCGCCGGTGCTCCCTAAGCTCATCCGTCGGGGCCACGGACAGGATGTGGTCCTCATCCAAGCACGTTTTTGCAGGTACTTCCGACATGCTGTCGAAAACTGCAAAGCTGAAGGGGTCTCCTCGTCGTCCTCTTCCTCCTCGTCCTCGGGCATGAGGTTTTGGGCAGCGCGCCTCCCGACAAACTCGCTCCAAGGACACCCGCACACACACACACACAGTCACACACACACACACACAAGCATTCGGAATCGCGCGCCCTATGAGCTCGAGGATGGATCTGAAGTCGTGGCCTCAGTGGCACAAAGCGATGCACGCGCTGCACGCGCTGCGCGCGCTGCCTCTGCTCTCCTGCTCTGCTGCTCTTCTTGTTCGCGAGGTGTAAAGCGATCGCACAAGCGCATCGCTTTGCCTCGCTCTGACTCAGTCTGACTCTGAGCTTCGGCACCGCAGGGCCCGAAGCACATCAACACGGCCGGCAACGGCACAAGGGCGAAGACCACGGCGTAAGCAGTCACGCCACAAACCTCAGCAGGGGTCAAGCGGGGTCGGGCGGCTCCCACTGCATGCAGGACATTTGATCTGAGGGGTGGGGGGGGGGGCGGGCGGTGTCCATGTCTTAGCAGTTTTTCATCGGCAGCTCGCTTCAGACCTTGAAGCAAGTCGCACGGGCACGAACTCAGGTTTCGAGATGGAAAATCAGCGGTCACTGCCAACGAGGCATAGGTTGCAATTCACGAGCCTCATGGAAAATGATCTCTCTGCAACAGGTATACCGTGCGAGGATAAGCTCTGATCTTGAAAACCATCATGTCCCGGAACTTAAGCTTCTGTAACAGGCCACGGTGTTGCCCTAAGAAACCCCAAACTATGGACCTTAAACGGCCTGTCACCCAGGTGACACGCGGGTCGCATCGCATCAGGCAAGAACAAGAAAGAAACGAGCCGTTGATCATCATGCCCTTGAACAGCTGCGCACAGCAGCAGTCTTGAAGAGATCTGCGCGACCATACATATGCTGAGCTTCCGACGACGGCACCCAGCTTGAAGAAGACGTGCATGGTGCAGGGCAGCAGGAAGGCCGCCGAGCCGATCGTGGTCAGAGCTGAGCCCACCTCTGCCAGACAAAGACTGGGGAGCCGGAGCCTTGGGAAATCTTCAGCTTGAGGCTACGAGTACGAGTAGTTTATCGTCGACAGCGGCTACATCTTCACAGCTTTCCGTCCTGCGACCTTCGATCATCTGAGCCTCTAGCAATCGAGCCACCAATCCTCTCAAGGGCATACTTCGAGCGCTCGAAGCGCTCGGCGCCTGATGTCTCTTGTTGCAAGCACCAGACCTCTACACCGAACCGACACCAGCTGAAAGTTTGAAAAAGATCTTCCCACTCACCGAGCCAGGAGCTGCGATTCTTCGAGAGGACGCGCTTGTTTTGCTCTCGCTTCTCCGTCGTCGCCTGCCAGACATACGCAGACACGCTGGAACGTGAAGGACAAGCCGCGCTGTCCTTGGTGACCGCGATGTCGGAGATCTTCATGGACACGCGGTGGTTGCCGGACTTCCCGGGCTTTGACGCCCCGGCCGCCCTTAGAAACATCTCATGCTTGCATCTTCTTGTCTCGGCTGCGGCCTTGCTGCAAGCAATAGCAGTGAATAGCATACTTTAGATGGCTACCAACTAGCTGGACGGAACCTAACCAGACAGTTGGATAGAATATGATAGAACGATAGATTAGAGCTCAAACTAGGCCTGCAAGTTGTGAAGGAGCCCTTTCTTGTGTCCCATCCGGTTTCGCTCTCGCTTTGCCACTAAGGTCCGTGCATGGAGATGCTCTTCCTTGCGGCTCTGAGTGATGGCTACTGGCTTCAAGTAGAATCGGGATTCTGGTCAGCGGATTACCGTTCGCCGTGCATTCGGTGTCCTGCCGATGTTCTGCAGTCGCGTGGCAACCGACTGTGGCTCTTGCTCCTCGAGGCTCGTGAGAGGTCTTCTGCACAAGCGGCATTGCGTCTTGTCTCCTCCTCCTCTTCTTCGTCCTCGTCGTCCTGCTCCTCCACGTCCGTGATGTGACAGGAGTGGTACTTGTGAGACCTCAGCACACTTTGGCTCCCGAGAGCCCAGGCTCCGGCCAAGGCTGCGGCAGGTGGAGGCAATAGTCCACCGCAAAGCCCACAAAGACGATGAGGGACAAGACTTCGATGGCTCCGATCTTCCACGACATAATCTCAGCACAGGAGGCGGGAAGGCCATTGTGTCCAAATGCTAATGACACTGCTACCTGTACAGCACAAAGCAGCCTGCAGTAAGGTCCCGGCGATGACCATGAAGAACAGCAGGCCAAGCACAATCATCATGACCACCAGCATGACGATCAGCGAGAGATGTGTGCTCCGAGTGAACACCAAGACTCCCAAGAACACACAGCCTAGGGAGATGCAAAGCGTGACCAGCGTACTATCCAGGATCACCTCAGGGCTCACTTCTAAACTTTGTCGGCTCAGCTGTCACAGCTGCCGCCTGCCTTCTCTGCTTCGGCGATGGTCCAGACGCGGGAGGCCTTTCAAGAGAAAGGCGGAAGTTTCAGGACTTGAGAAGGCTCTGAGAATCTCTGAGGTTCTCGGCGTGCCAGGCTCCTTTGATGGGTGCTTCCGCTTGGCTGTTGAATGCCTGCAGAGTGTCCGCAAAGCCAAATCGTGAAGGGCGGACCTCTCAGTTTGTAGCTGCCGTCGGGCGACGGCTAGGTGGCGATCCCACTTCAGCATTGCGTCCATTCCGCTGGAAGAACCCCCCAAGCGGTTCACGTTGATGAAGAACCTCAGGGCCGCAAGGCAGGACGCCCGCAGGCTCCAGGCAGAGAAAGCTCGACTAAGCGAGGAGCTGGAAGTACATGGCGATGAGACGCTGGTCCTCCGAGAACCAAACGTAGCCTGAAGCAAAGCTCTTCACAACTTCACTGCCGGGGAAAAAGCTCAACTGTCATGTACTGTTCTGTAGTTATCTTCATAAACCTCTGGGGTTTCAAGGGCGAAAGGGCTGCCAGGAGGCGGATGGTTTCGAAGGGCCCTGTCTTCCTGTTGTTGGCGTACCACCAGGCTTCAGCGTGGAAGTTCTTGACGTTGGGTCTCACGGGCCACTCCTCGCCCTTGCCAGTCCACCACTCCTTGAAGCCCTGACAGGACATCCAGCTTCGAAGTCAAGATCATGAGCATTTACTGCTCTGCATGAGTAGCTGAGGGCCTTCAACCAGCACTGCACTGAGACCACCTTCAGCTCCTGCACGTGAGTGCTCTAACTGCTTTACAATTGGCTCTGCACTTTCGATCTTGTGGCCACCTGCTGAGCACGTATGTCTCACACTCATCATGAACAGACGTCTCAGTGAACCCCCTGTCTCTAATCATCGTGCTCATGCAGGCGGACAAAAATATGAACTCCACCCAAAGCCCTCAACCAAACTAACCAAACCCCTGCCTCTGGGAAGTTCTCGCAGAGGGCCAAGCTCCGTCTCTGGGCCCAGGGATCCTCCAACTTGAACTCCTCTGAGAAGCCATAAGGCTCTTCCTGCGCAGACAGACCCCTAGCTTATTCGCTTCAGATGCTTCTTTAGGCTCCTAGCAAACTTGGGCGATCTTATGCCCTCAATTCTTTTAAAGGCTGCCGTCACCTTCGAGACTCCCAGCAGCGGATTCGTGCCCGTGACTTTGAGGCCGAAAACGACAAGTACATCCTTGGGTGTGGCTGCCACAGCTCAAAAGGGAGAGCAGGGGTTGGGCGAAGGCGGGGAAGGCTCGCGAAGACCTTCCCGCCCTTGGAGGTCCGAGGCACCGTCTGCAGCTCAACGGGCACCAGCGGCTCTGGTGCGCTTGTGGAGGTGGCCAATCGGCGCGAGGAAAACAGGGCCTGCACACAACCGACATGAAGGGATATGAAGGCATGAGACCGGATTCAGTGTGGCCTGGGCGACGCGGTCCAGGTGCAGGGTCGCAGCGGAGTCAGGCGATCCTGCGACCATGTCACGGAGATACGAGTACCCCTTCCACGGGCACAGCAGCAGGACACGGGTGCGCGACCCTCCATAAGCATCACCACAAGACATCAGACATTGCGAAGAGAAGGCCGCAGGCGGTTCTAGGCAAGAGGTGCCGTGTCGTCTCAGAGTCTCCTGAGGGCGGGCCATCGCAGGGCTGCACGCCGCAGTAGCACAGCCTCATAGAATCTCAATTGACACAAGAACGTGGCGTGAGGTTCCGAGTCTGCCGGGGAACAGATTGGTGGAGCAGCTTCG